AGCAGCAGCAGCAGCTGCCGTCTCCTCCTCCTGTCTCGGGTCTTCGGACCCTTGGTCTCCCGTCTCCCTCTCCTTCCTCCTCCCCCTCTCCTCCCGTCTCTGGTCCTCCGCTTCCTCCTCCTGACCCCTCTCCCGCTGTTTTCCCTCGTTCTCAGTCTTCGTTGTCTCCTCCTCCTTCTCAGACTTGGGCCTCTCGTCGCTCCCCTCGTGCTCGTCCCTCGTCTCCTGTTCCCTTCACTGACCTTCGTACAGCCTTCCTTTGTTCTCGTCCACCTCGTCCGTCTCCGTCTGTGCTTCCGTCTCCTCCTGAGTCGGCTCTCACTGCGTCGCTCCCTACTCCTGTCACTGACTACTACCGCACGTACCGTCCTCTTCTCTCTCGTGTTCTCGCCTCGCTTGTTACTCACCCTCGTGCCTCTGTGTCCTCTGTGTCCGCTCTTACTGCCGCAGTCACTGACTTTGCCTCTACCCGCCGCCTTGACTTCGCCACCGCTCTTGTGGCTGCTCCTCCTTCCAGTCCTCTGGTCGTCGGGGGTGTGTCTGCCCTTGGCTGTGACGCCCTAGAGGACAGGCAGTTTGAGCTAGAGTTCCTGGCGGCCGCTTCCCCTCATCTCTGTGCCATGCTCCTCGCCCCTGAGGGTGACCCCGACGCCCTTGACATTCCGACTCCTCGCACTTACGCTGAGGCAGTGTCAGGGCCTTGGGCCTCTCAGTGGAGAGCTGCCATGGACGCAGAGATGGCCTCCTACAGATCCACAGGCACCTACGTCGATGAGGTTCCCCCTCCGGGGGCGAACGTAGTCGACGGCATGTGGATCTACAGGGTGAAGCGGCCACCGGGATCTCCTCCGGTCTTCAAGGCGCGCTACGTGGCTAGAGGTTTCAGTCAGTGCGAGGGAGTTGACTTCTTTCAGACCTTCGCGCCCACCCCGAAGATGACCACTCTTCGGGTGTTACTACACGTAGCAGCACAGAGAGACTACGAGTTACACTCTCTCGACTTCTCTACTGCTTTCCTTCAGGGCAGTCTTCACGAGGAGGTCTGGTTACGTCGTCCCTCTGCCTTCACTGGCTCTTTCCCTCCTGGGACCCAGTGGAGGCTGAGGCGACCGGTTTACGGTCTTCGTCAGGCTCCTCGTGAGTGGCACGACACCCTGCGTTCTACCCTGTCTGACCTTGGGTTCCAGCCGTCTTCTGCTGACCCGTCGCTGTTCGTTCGTCGTGGCCCCACACCTTTCTTTGTTCTGGTCTACGTTGACGACCTTGTTTTCGCCACCCCTGACAGGGTTGCTTTGGCACACGTGAAGTCCGAACTGCAGAAGAGACACACCTGCACTGATCTTGGTGAGCTGCGCCACTACCTTGGCCTGCAGATCACCAGGGACAGAGCTGCTCGCACCATTACACTTTCACAGTCGCACATGGTGCAGCAGGTCCTTCAGCGGTTCGGGCTTCAGCACTCCACAGTACAGCGCACACCTCTTGCTGTTGACCACAGACTCACTGGACCCTTTCCTGACGAGCCGTTCGAGCCTAGTGGTCCCTACGCAGAGCTTGTGGGTCGCCTCATGTACCTGATGACTTGTACTCGCCCGGACCTCGCCTTCCCTCTCAGCGTTCTTGCGCGCTTTGTTGCGCCAGGGAGACACCGTCCTGTTCACTGGACAACAGCTGTGAGGGTGGCGAAGTACCTAGCGACGACATCAGGCGTGGGGCTAGTTCTTGGAGGGCAGCAGTCTGTCGTACTTACTGGTCACTGTGACTCCTCTTACGCTGACGACGCTGAGACTCACAGGTCTACTCAGGGGTACTGTTTCAGCCTGGGTTCTGGAGCTGTTTCCTGGCGGTCCACGCGCTCCTCTTCGGTCTCGACCTCTACAGCTGAGGCTGAGATCTACGCTGGTGCCATGGCGGCACAGGAGCTGCGTTGGTTGACCTTCTTGCTCACCGACCTTGGTGAGCGGCCGAGCTCTGCACCGACCTTGTTCACTGACAACAAGGCGTCTATTCTCCTTTGTCGAGAGCCACGACTGGAGAGCAGAGTGAAGCACATTCACGTCAGGTACTTTCTTCTGCGAGAGTTGCAGAGGCGTGGACAGGCTCGCTTTGAGTTTGTGGAGTCCGAGGCCAACACTGCAGACATCTTCACCAAGGCGCTTCCGCCTTGTGACCACCAGAGGTGCTGTGTGCAGTTAGGCCTTGTTGACACTGGTTCTCGTGTTGCTTAGACTTGAGTGTACTGTTTACTTTGCTTTCTATATATCTCTGTTACTTCTTGGACTGGCCTTGTGGCCACTGTTGTTTGTGCTCAGACTGTGTGGTGACGTTGTGATCCACCCTGAGCCTTGTTTCTTGGACTGGTCTTGTGACCGTACTCGTTTGGTTCTGCTAGACACCCCTCACTTAGGCTATGGGGGTGTGTCAAATGTTGTAGCCTATAGTGAGGTTTGTCTTAGGGGGTACAAAACTTAGGGTTAGCTATATGTACCCCAACCAACATCAATGCACCATCCATTCCTCATTCTGACAGCTATGCCCCCCTTTCTCTCCCTTTTTTTTTTTTTTTTTTGTACTTCTTGCTCCTTCTCTCCCTTTTTGGTCTTCCAAAGATTGAACCAGGGCTGCCCATCCCTGCCATGCATGGTGGCGGTTTGAGGGAGGAATGTGCCCGTTTTCCCCCTCCCCCTTCTCCTCCTCGCGTTCTCCCTTTGTTTTTTTTTTTTTTTGTGATCCTTCGCAACCAGAGGGGGGCCTTTAATAAAATCCATATCTCGCATGGTCATGCATTGTCATGCCTACTAGCATGCTTCTCATCCCATCAATTGGGGCATCCGGGGGACCGAGAGGCATTCTTCCTCTTCCCCAAGGCTAGGCCTACGGCCATACTTTATTACCCTATCCTAGGGGACCGAGAGGCATTCTTCCTCTTCCCCAAAGCTAGGCCTATGGCCAAATTCTACCACCCTATCCTAGGGCTGGCCCATGGCCACCGCAAGCCCTACTAGGCTGCCCACGGTCTAAGCACTCAAGAGTGCACCGTGCATCGCGCCGAGTGGCGCACTTCGCCATAGCCCGAACCCTACACAACCGGTGCGGGTCCTTGGCCCCCGTGCCCATTCCGAGGGCAGGCATTGGCAACGTGGCCTGGCTGGCCGCAGCGGAAACACGAACCACGAAAGCCTTGGAAATTGCCCGAGGTTGGAGGGCCCCGTTTTGGGGCGAACGCCATGGCGCCATGGGTTCCACCGCGGTGGGAGCGAGCGTGAGCGCCCGCCGCTCGGTCCATGGCAGCCACGTCCGCGACGGCTTGCTTGAACGGGCGTGAAGTGAGAAGGCTTTTCTGCAGGTACATTTTGTAGCGCTTGGCAACGCGGTCGTCGGAGGCGTCTTCGACTTGAAACATTTCGAAGCGCGCGGAAATGTCGTCGAGGGCGGCGACGACCATTTCGAGTCCGCCCGCCAAGTCGCCGTGCTGCAGCTTGTATTCTGCGTGTTTCAGGTAGGCCCGCATGTCCTCCAGAATTTCCGCTTTCGCCCGCACGTGCGCGTCGTTGAACGTCGCCGCCGACCAAGTGGTGTTAGTAGTAGAGGGGAGGGGGGGAAGATGCTCCATGGAATTAAAATTTTTGGTATGGACCGGAGCCTCACCATCATCGTCGTCGGAGCCGTCGGTGTCGTTGTCGGCCACTGGCGCAGGTGGGATGCTGGCCGGTGCTTCCTTGTCGTGCCGGTTCGCCGTTGTTCCTCGCGCTCCTTTTTCTCTTTTTGCGTTTTCCTTTTTAGCAGATGCAGAGGCCGCGGGTTGTGCAATTTCCGTAGCTGTAACGCTGGCCGGGTGTTGCTGTAACAGGGACAGAAGCGCGGCGACCTGGTCCGGAGTCAACGCGTTGGTCAACGCCGGGGTCGTCGCGTCAGAAGAAGTCGCTGTTCGGCGCCTCTGGCGCTGACGCGACGGTCCAGCCACAGGCGCCGGCGTATGTTCCGCGTCAGGCGCGTGTGGCGCCACAGGTGCTGCAGGTGCCGCCGTCGCCACTTGCGCCACACGCGCCTCAGGCGCCACAGGCGCCACAGGCGCCACAGGGGCCGAGGGGTGCTGCTGCTGGGGCGGGCTCGAGTTTTTGTTGACCTCGAGCCCGCCCAACAGCACGTCCACGGCGGTTGGGGCGGGCGATCCTTCCTCTGCCCGGCGCTTGTTACGGCGATCGCCCGTCATTTCTCGGGCGTTACGGTCGGTGTCGGAACTCGGCGCAGACGAATTGCCGCGGTTAAGTGCCGGCGTAGACGCCATTGTAGAGCGGTTGTGGTTGAAAATGTCTTGCAGAAGTGCTGAGGGTGACTCGCCTCTGGGGAGGGTGCGAGTTCTAGCCAGCTTGGACGGGGAAAAGAACTACTCGAACGGAAATGTTGATTGAGCCGTTGAAAAACGAGAAACGTGGGTGGAGGGAATGAACTCCAACCCACGGTTTTTGTAGTTGGAGAAGGGCGTTTAGCACGCTTCGACGCTGCCAAATATTCGGTACAGGCAGCTTCGCTTTCACAATACACAATTTTGAAAACATCAATGTGTTTAAAAAATATAATTTGGTATTCGCGAATGAAAAATGCCTATTGCATTTTCTGCACATGTGCGAATTCTTTCGCCTTTTGGAGCCCTAAACCCGTTCCGAGCGTTTTTCTTCCATTAAAACCCGCGGGCCAATAACTTCAACCTTAGGAAGCTTGGTTGGGGCAAGCAACACACTTTATGCAAGAGCTTTTTACAAAGTTCGCGAACTGAAGATACCAGTGAATGTTCTGCATCACACATCCATAATACCTAAGGTAAACATTCACGGCAAACTGAGATTCTCTTAACCCGTGTACTACGGTAATGGTAGGCTATCTGTTGAAACTGCAATGAAGTAAAAGAGGGGCGGTCTCAAAACAAGCTCATTCTTTACCGTAGCATAGCAGCCCATGCAAGCTCTACATCTTGTCTTTTTTCCACACATCATACCACGTCAGTATGCACAAGTAGTACTATGCCAAAAAATATCCTGCAACGAGAAAAAATAAAACAACAAAAACAAACAAGAAACCATAGTCTGATTAGGTACGCATCCCATGGATACCGTTGCACCGAGAGCATTCTCGAATTGCACCTTGCCGGCCCGGGAAAAATCCGATAGGTCATTCAAACGCCCATTGGTTCTCGCGACGAACTTCTTCCTCTTCTTCTGGAGTGAAATCGTTCTTTATGTTAAATGTCCTGCGGATTTCCTCTGGCGATTTTCCTCGGATCATGTCAGCAACAGTCTGGCACGTAAGCTCCAGCAGATCTTTGATGTGCAAATAATTTGCCGCCTGACAAATAATAATGAATCACAAAGGGGGTGATGCAGTGAGTACGAAGACGTATATTATTATGCCCGCGAAAAGGGCTGCGGCTTAAGACCAGACGAAAGACGACGCATCAATACAGGATGGTGGATACGCACCAATATCAGGTCGAACAAGGTAGCTTGATCGACTTTCACAAACTCCTGATCCCACGCCTTCACCTCATCGTCCGTGACAGCAGGCTTCTCCATGGAGCCAGGCTTCTTCGCATCCACGTGATACTTGCAATACTCAATCACCTTTGCCAGGATTCGCCCAGAGACGTTTGGCAAAGGGATGGGCTCGCTGGCAGACGACACATCGACATCTTCAATCATATTCTTCACGGTGTCGCTCTGCAAAGCTACCTCCTGGTCTACTTCGAAAATCTCATTGTCTGAGCTCTTCAGCTTCAACTTATTGTCTGCCATGCTCGCTAGAATAACGTGCACTAAGAGTCCAGGAGTTTTAAGACTAAACAAGAACCTCTGCTGTCAAACACAACCACCAATCCCACCAGAATGAAAGCACCAAGAGAGAAGGAATAACAACGATATGAGATGAGATCAAGAAGAGCTGCGTGGGGAAGTGACTAACAAGACTCAAGCGTCAACCCTTTCCCCCCTGTCAGCTCGATTTGGATCACAAGACAAGCAAGCAGTAGCCCTGTGAAAGTCCGAACCGAAACCCCAAGATTACAGGGCACGGCATCTACATGCCCAGACGTTCGTCATTTGTTAGAATCAAGGTCTCCCTACCCTAAGATTAATTCAACACATCTACACCTCAAGGTGCGCTCATTTCTGTTATCCCATCCGTTCTGTATCAAACTGGAACACTACATGCATAATATATATAAATATATTTCTGGACCATCATCAAGAATCACATTCGCTATTTAAACACTTAAACACATCAGCAGCACGGAAGCTGCTGTTGACCTCGGAAATTAGCTGCCAAGCTTCGTCAATCTCTGAAATGCTGCTTGTTGCAAGAAGCACAGACCTGCGATGAAATAAAGAGGGACGGTCAAACAATTCACCATGTATGTGTGGCATGTGTATGCAGGTGATTTTTCTGAGATAGGTTTACACATGATTCACATAGAGGCTCCACCTGTGTTTGGCGAGGAATGCCTGGAGCATCTGCTGCAGGCCCCAGCGCAGGGCAGAGCGCAGTGTGGCAGCATTGTGGGGGTCGGGCACCACCCAGGTCTGCTGCATGGCTAGCACATCTCCCAGCACACTGCAGAACTCCGCCAATCTGCCATACAGAGCAAACACAGACACATCAGACAACCAGCTAGAAAGGCGCTCAACCATCCGAGGAAAGAAGCAAGAGCGGAGGCGAGGTGCTCACCGACGGATGGCATCGGGTCTGCGCAGTCTGTCGTTGGTGACCAGGCAGTGAAACTGGCCGGGGGGTGGAGGGGGGAGAGAGGCAGGAATCAGAGTAAACAAGCTCACATGTGCTACATAGGGTGATCTAGAAAATCATGAAAGGGCGCCCTGTCCTTCGAACCCGATAGCATATCATACTGGAGAAACACAAGCACGGGCACTCCCATGTGGGTCCCTCATTGTTGGTCAGTGCGGTGCAGAGAGGCAGGTCGTACCCTGGCGAAGGAGAGCTCGAGGAAGCGGTCGCGGTGCCGCTCCTCGTGCTTGGCATGCGCGCCCACCTCCGCCAGCCCCAGCAGCTTGCCCACGCTCGACCTGCTCATGCCAAGGGCGGAGTCATAGGCACATAGGCACATGGGCACATGGGCTCATGGGCTCATGGGCACATGGGCACATGCGCACATAGCACACATGCACTAATAACACTCAAACTCTGATGTCCACTACTCCGCCCCCACACTCCCGCGTTTTCCCGTCTTTCCCTTTCCTGACTCTCCTTCCCCCACCCTCTGCTCTTAACCCCTCTCATCCTCTCCTACCCTCTCCCCCCTTCCCCCGGAGTGTGGCAGCGCACGTGGAGAGGCGGGAGGCGATGTGGTGGAGGTTGTTCATGAGGAAGAGCTCGCTCAGCGCCAGGTCCCCCCGGCTGCCCACCGCATGCGCCTCCAGCGCCCCCACCAGCCCACGGATGCTCCCCGCGATCACCATCGCCATGCGCGCATGCACCCGCCTCCCCGCCCCTCCACCCGCCCCCACCCCGGGCTGGCCGGGCAGCGGCAGCGAGGAGGCTTCACTCCAGCAGCTGGTGGCGGGGCTGCTGCACACGGAGTGGGGGGTGGGCGGCTGCTGGTCACGCGGGGTGAGGGCGGGGTGCGGCGAGGCGCAGGGAGAGGAGGCATGGGAGGCAGCGGGCGGCGGGGTGGGGTGCGTGTCCAACACCTCCTCCAGCAGCCGCCGGTACGGCAGGTCGCTGTGGGGCAGGCACACAGGAGAGGGGGGGCGATGCTATGACAAGTTACGATGCTATGTGACGCTGTGTAGTGTAGTGAGGTGAAGGATGAAAGGATGGGCCAGGAACAGGTTGGCACACATGCACTGGTGCGAGAAAGGTCATGGATACGTGAATGGATGGAGTAGTTGGGGAAATGGGGGGTTATGCAGGTGGTGGGGGAGTGAGTAAATGGAGGGCGAAAGCAGAGTGGGGGTGTGACTGACTGGGAGCAGAGGAGGTGGAAGGTGTCGAGCAGGCGCAGTGTGACGGGGTCCACGGCGCCCGTGATGGTCTGGAAGCACGCCGCCACCCCCGCCCCCCGCCCCCCTGCTGTCGCTGCCGCCTGGAGTGCCGCCTGCGGTGGCCGCACTGACAGAAAGCTGCGGAGGGAAAAGGGCGGGTGGAACGAGGCCAGAGGGAGATACAGGGTGAAAGTGTGCCGCCAGAGAGAAGAGGGAGGGCGAGGACTTGAACCCGCAAAGACTGAAGGAGACTTTCAGACGGTGCTTCCTCCCTGCTACTCCAAGAATGCAGAGCTCTGCACGCTCCAAGTGATGACAACGAGGGCAGACACGGAAGGCACACGGGTAAGGCAGGTATGGCAGCTGACAGACACGGAGGAGGCACAGGGACAGGCACGGAGCACAGGCACGGAGGGCACGGATGGAAGGTAGGTACGGACAGCAGGTACGGAACGCAGGCACAGAGGGCAGGCAGCGTGTGTGAGGTGCATACCGCAGCAAGAGACTGCGTCCCTTGCGCTGCCCCACGCCCATGCCTGCTGGCGCAGCAGTGGTGCCACTTGCTGCTGCCACAGCTGTGTCCGCCTTGCCCTCTCCACTCCCACAACCACCCTCTCCTCCCTCCGCCTCCGTGTTCTCCGCCTCAGCTGCACCCTCCTGCTGAGAGCCACCATCGCCTGCTTCCCCTTGCGCCAGCACCGTTTTCACCACCGCCCCTTCCTTCTCCTCGCCCCTCTCACTCCATACCTGCGTCCCTTCCTCCTCCTGCCCCTGCCCCGTGGCCTGCCCCTTGCCCTGCCCCTTGCCCTGGCCGTCCAGCACCAGGGCGAGCAGGGCGGGGTCGGACCAGGCGGTCTCAGTGGCGAGGAAGGCGCTCCTCGCCACGCCCGCCACGCGCGCCAGCACCCCCAGGTACTGCCGCCGCTGCCTCTGCGTGCGCCGCGGGTACAGCTCCGCCACCTGCGCGCACAGGGGGATTAGTGGTTGGGGGAAAGACGAGGAGGGAGGGAGCAAAGAAGCACTCAGGACGCGAGCCCACGGCAGACCTTCTCGTACAGGATAAGCCACCGTAAATGGAGCAGACTCAAATGTCTCCTGCGCCTCCCCTGCAGCGCCGCTGGGGGGACCCTCTGCCTGTTGGAACCTCTCGCTGCCTCTCTCGCCTGTCCCAGCCCACAACCCCCAATTCTCCCTGGCCCGTACCTGCGGGTAGCCGTCCCTCAGCGCTTGGAACGTGGAGAGCGCGTGCAGCAGCGCGTGCAGCAGCGCGTGCAGCGGGGGCGAGGCGGCGAGGCGGGTTGGCAGGGCGAGCAGCGCGGCGAAGGAGGGCGCGAGCAGGTCGTCTACGCACTCCTGGCGCAGATGCCCCATGCCGCCCAGCACCGCGCAGCTCAGCCTCTGCTCCGCCAAGAACAGCGCCAGCTGCGGGGGGTGCGGGGGAAAGGGGGAAAGAGAAAGGGCGGAGGGGGTGGTTCCAGGGCGAAGGAGTTGGAGCAAGGGTGGGAGCCGGGAGGAATAGAGAGGCGCGGGGGCGCCGGGCAGGTGAGGGCAGACAGAGCCATGCAATGGGCAATGCGGGAAAGGCGCGTGGAAGGAGCCAGCGAGAGCGAGTGAAGGAAGAGCGACGTACTCCAAATCGGAGGTGCGCGCGCCACTCCCTCAGCCGCTGCCCCGCCTCCCCCCACGACCACTCCGCCTGGCCCGCCCCCTCCCGCTCCTCCGCTCCCACTCCCGCTGCCGCCAGCGCTGCTCGCACCACGGCGCCCCGCCGTCGCCTGGTGGTGAATGGTGGCATGGGCGGAGACCGAGGGGAAGAGGCAAGGCGATGAGCTCGAGTGAGGCCGCGCGCGCGAGGCGAGCTCTGACCACGGCTCAGCTGCGCGCAGGGTCCAGGGACGCAGGGACGCGCAGACGCGCAGACGCGTGAAGGGATTGGGGGGAGCGAGGGGGGTAGAGAGGGGGCTCACTTGTATGTCTGGAACAGCGTGTGCCGCTCGCCGTTCTCGAACAGCCGCTTCGCCATCGCCTGCAGCCGCGCCACCATCTCTCCCCCCCCCGCGCGCTCCCCCCAGCGCGCCGAGCCATCGCATCCGGACTGTGCGTAGGCGGAGGCGGGTGAGGGGGGACAGCGCAGTTCGGGGAGGGGCGGCAGACCGCCACGCGCAGAGGGGGAGGTGGCGGCCGTGGGGGGGAAACATTCCAGCGCACTGGGGTGTTGGCGGGAGCAATGGGATTTAAAAGGGGGAGGGGAGCAGTTGGCGGAGAGAGTGAGTTCTGACAAGGTGAGCGAGAGGCAAGAAAATGGTGGGAGAGTATAGGAATTGTGTGCGAAAAGGTGCTGCCATGATGTTTGGCGAATGAACTGCGCGGGCCGCGGTGAGCTGGGAACGAGAGGGCGTGAGGCGGCAAGACGCACTCGACTGCTCCGATGTGCTTGTCGAAAGCGGCCGCGAGAACCTCCATGGCGGACGTGAGCAGCTGTCGGCTGCGCTCGATCTCCGCCTCCATGGCGCCCACCGCGTCCCTCACGCGGTCCACCGCCGAGTAGAACTCCGCCGCCGCCACCTCCCCGCCCTCTCCGCCGTCCTCGCCGCTCTCCGCCGCGCCCGCCAAGTCAAGTCCCATCGCCACGGCGGCCTCCAGAACGGGCTGTACCTGCGCGCCGGGGGGGAAAGCGCGGGAGAGAAAGTGGTCGCGTGGGCGCGGAGCGGAAGGGTTCTAAAAAAACAGGAAATTGACGGGCGCAAATAGTTTCCGCTTCGCCAGAGGTCCTCCGCTGGCCCCTTCGCCTCGCCTCCACCGGCCCGTCCGCCTTACCTCCTCGCGCACGGCGAACGGGTTGAGCATGAGGTATGTCGATTGCGACGCCAAACTGCCCTCGTCGCCGCTGTCGGCACCGGCCTCTCGCTCACTCTCTCCGCCACCGCCGCCTCCCGTCGTCTCTTCTGCTTCCGCCCATCCCCGATTATCCTCCCCTGTGTTCTCTTGCCCCTCTTCCTCCTCGCTCTCCGCCCAATCCGACCGTTCCTCGAAACTCTCTGACTGTTTGCGAAGGCAGCTTCGCGGAGCTTTGGGCCGACGCGGTACGCGACGTCGTGCGTTGGGTCGCAACGCCAAGCCTCCAGCAGCCATCAAGGCACGAGCTCAAGTGGCAGGAAGGCGCTACTGGAATCGAAACAAACGGTGCCGCTAAGGAAGATGTTAGAGATGGCGCTGCAGACGAGACTTAAAGGGATGGTACAGAAGTGCTGGTTAAGTCTAGCTACTAATCACTAGCTAAGTCTGCGCGTCTATGTGGCTGAGCTGGGCAAAGAAGGTGCCAGCCATGGCTCAGCAATTGAACTTACAAGTTTATTCCGCAGCATATCCGTATTACTATATGTTCGGTCTAAACCAATCCCAGATTTTCCGTCGTTGCGCGATGTTGCAAAAGCGTACACTTGCAGAACTGTATATGCTAAGGCTCCGCTCATGAACGATAGAGCCAGAACAGGCTCAACCACCGCAAGCTGGGAGGGGCGAATTCGAGTGGAAGCACACGAATTCATGATGAGAAATGGAACGGAAGCTGACACATGGGTTTGGCGGGGTGGACGGGAAATTTGCGAAACATTTCGGGCGCGCTTCGATGATGTGATTTATGCGATCTGGTACGTGAGGGTCAACGAACTCGCAACGACCTTCTATTGGTTAGCCTCCGCGAATCCTCCAAGCAAAGTGAACCGCCTGACAAGGCGCCAAGCCCTTGTATCAAATCGGCGGCAAAGGAAAAGCGACAAATCCTCGTTAAAGCATACCTTCGTCAAGCGCACAACACAGTAAAACAGTGGTGATGTACGTCGGTCTATTACAGGTAACACAATTCTTTTAACAGAAGTGAAAGAAAAAACACGTAAATGCTTTACAATGTTATCAAATATTATATTTTTTTTCCCAGGAATATTTGTTTTTGCAAAATTTCTCAGCTATATGAGCCATGTCGTAAGCACACCAGCAAAATGAGGTCACAGATGGTTAGGGAGAAACATACACCGAATGCCGCGTAAGCGTATTCAAGCAACTGAGACCAGTTCGGGAATCTGAATATCGGTACGACTTTCACCAATCGCGTTGCGACACTCACGCAAATCTCATTTGATGCTCCACTTTTTGTCCTTTGGTCCTGCGAAAACCACGGGGACCCTCGGTCACCGCAAAAGGCGAGCAAGCCCCAAACGTCTTGAGTTCAGGGAACCCCTGCCCAGCCAGACCAAACCAGAAATACACCCTCATTCTCAGTCTACGCACAATCGGGAGCAGCGACAACAGTGTTGTCAGGTAGCGTCTCTGTGCTTGTGGCCGAACCCCCTAATGTTGCCAGGCACACCATGCACCAAGCGCCAAAACAGTAACATTCGAAACGACTTGTTCACTTTGTCCTACACTGTGGCCAAAGATTCCACATCAAAACACACAAGAAACAGACAATTCCTAACACAGGTTCAAAACACATACAGAATATCTACGTTCGGTAGAAAGGGGTAACGTATGGTAGAGCGAAAAGCAACGGCAGCCAACCACACATGTGAGCGCACTGTACACTTCCTGCCAGTCAAAGTCAACAGCTGCATTACCAACGTGGCAGTCGTGATTGTGCTTGTAGAGTATGTGCATGCACCATTCTAGGCACGTTGCAGTCACTACAAGCGTTCGGTGCATGTGGCGATTGTGCACAGACTGAGAATGAGGGTGTATGTACAGTTATTTTCTATGACAGCAGGCAAGACAACGTCCTCTGGTGGTTTGGAATGTCGGATGTGCCCGTCGTGTGACGCATGCTGGTCCCTTGGAGTTTCAGCAATCCCGTTTCTTATGAATGGCAGGTTCTGCTATAATATTCGAAGTAGAATTTTCCTCAAATTACAGCAAATAAACAAGCTTGTTCCCAAGCTGTGTGTACGCTTTGAGGCTGTGGGGCTATCAAGCCTGGCAATCAAGCCCTACGGTTACATTCGAATTGCGAAACCGTACACATGTCTGCTTCACCCCCCAAAACTGGTCTCGACACTTGGCCTCAGCTGATTGTACTGTCGCCATCCAACCATCGCCACGTCATGCCAAGCCATCCGTTACGCCAGCATGGCCGCGACGCGACTTGCTCGGGCCCGTCCTGCCAATCTCACACACAGCACAACGCAGCGTGTTGCTAGGAAGGAGAGCTCACATGCGCTTGGGCACACCTCTTCGCTTCAAAAGTCGAATCCACCACCATGAACGACTTCTGACCAGCCTGCACAATCCCGTGGTGAATGGTAGCTGTAGAAGGCGAAGCACGCTTCTAGCACCGTTTCCGTGATCAGCCCCTCACGCAGCTGCTGTTGTTGTAAAGCAAGCCCGACGCAGCTGTCTGCCATGGCAGCGCGAGACCCCTTCCGACCAGCATTTTCTCCGAGGCGCCCCTCTCCGCGCGGATCCCCGTGCCCCTCACACCACTCCGCCGCGCCCTCCACCTCGTGCTACTCGCGCTCGAGCTCTGTCCGCAGCTGCAGCAGCAGCAGCACCAGCAGCAGCACCAGCAGCAGCACCAGCAGCAGCACCAGCAGCAGCACCAGCACCAGCAGCAGCAGCAGCAGCAACAGCAGTGCATCCTCGTCGTCTGCGGACTGGACGGCGCAGAGTCCCGTGCTTTCCAATTGCGTCGCCGGACCAATTCCTGAGCGCGACGCGCGCCTCGTCTTCCGCAGCCTCGTCAACACCATCGTCGCCACCAGGGCCGCCGCGGCTAGCACCGGGACGCCAGGGGGCGCGCGGGGATGCGGCTTGAGCCGGAATCGGAGCGGGCGGCGAGACGGCAGCGTGAAATCGCCGAGTCTGCTGTTCGGATCGTGTAACGAGCCGTGCTGCCGGCCCCTCTGCTTCTTCGCCCCCGAAATGCTTCCCGCGCTGCCCTCACCGCCGTGCATCGAGTCGGGCGCCCCCGCCGTTCACCCTCCCATCCCCTCAGGCGCTGCTCTCTTCGCGCCGACGTCGTCTTCCAGGTTCGCCCCGCCGGCGGCCCCCGCGCTGGCGGCGGACGAGGCGGCGCTGGGCGCGCTGGAGGTGTGGAGTCTGGGCGTGCTGCTCTACTCGCTGCTCACCGGCCGGCAGCCATTCCTCGGGCGCTCCAACCACGACACGCTGCAACGGATTCGCGCCGCCCGGGTGCGGTTCCCCCTCACCGTGCGTGCGATCATGCTGTCTGGCGACGCCAAGCGACTCATTCGCGAAATGCTTGCGATAGACCCTGCTTCGAGACCCACGCTAAAGCAAGTGCTCGCACACCCGTGGCTCGCGTCCCCTCCCGCCCGAACCGGCACTCCCAACGGACCCGGCTTCCGCCCGCGAAAGCACCTCCGCGTAGCGCGATCGTGCGGGCTGCTGTCGTGCATACGGGTCGGCGACTCGGTCAGCGACTCGGAACGCCCCTGAGTTCAACGGAAACGGAAGCAGTGATGCCTTGGGTTGGTGCACGACGCAGTTTACGCGGGGACGGTAAGCGGGTGAGCGGAGCAGGGGCTCAATAACGCTCATTCGTTCTTCCGCTTTTGAGCGCTTTGCAGCCGCACCCGCGTTGGCGGAGCGCGGCATTTCGCCATCTCACAGCGCCAGGGCCGCTCAGCATGAACCAAGCAACCGCCGCCATGCTCTCCGCCCGTTTAGTATCCTACGACCCGCGAGGTTGTCAGCGCATTGGGACTGTGCGACGCGCTGTGCGACTCTCTGAGGACGGCGGATGGAAGGGTCGGGTGAATGGGCAGGGCAGAAATGCAGCCGCAAGGGAGCATTGCACTAGAATGACAATTCGTTGCGCCAGCCGAAGCAAAACCGCGCAGCGAGCAATTCAATTTTTGGCTGCTGCATTCCATCCACTTGTCCATGCTCTTGTTTTTATGCCCAATCTATCCAGTGAGGACATGGATGGAAATGGAGTATCCTTACCTCTTATACAGGGCAGGGCATACATTACACAGTGATGAATTTCTGAACCAGCACCCAGGGAAACAATATCCCACCCAGTGGCTGATGTGTAGATACCCACTCAATAGACCCCATTGTACCAGGCTACACCACTACAAAGAACGAAGGATCCCAAGTGACCCCGAAGGCAATGCATTAGAGGAGAGCGGCAAGAGCTGCGGCAATGATTGCCAGAGGCAGTGAGAGAGGGACAGCTGCATGAAGAGGTGCCGACTTAGGTGTCACCTGAAGTGCACAGACGTATGGGATGGGAAGATGGGACACAAGTTTGCAAGAAAGACCACACCCCCTCACTCGCAAGGCATATTTGGGTACACACATGGTTTCCTCCCTTTCCTTTGACATCAACAATCCACCTCCCCATAAACAACCACCCCCATTCTCCCTCCCTTTCCACTCCCTGCCACTTTCCCCCCCACTCGCTGCCCCCTGCCCGTGCCCTCTCTCTCCCCCTCCCCCTCTCCCCCCCCACCACGCACCTGGGAGAAGCCAGAGGCAACGACTTGGAAGGTGCCTTGGCGGGGCGCGGCGAGGCCCAAGGAGAGGTCCTTGGGGAACGCGCCCGCCACGCCCAGCGCCCCGTACGTGGCATTCGCTGACAAGGGGGAGACGAGCGCGTGCGTGTAGGCGTCGTAGGTGGTGCGCTTGGTGTCGTACGCCACGTAGGCCTCGTTGATCAGCGTTGTCGTCACCGCCTGCCCCACCCCCACCACCTGGGATGCGAGCAGGGTGCGCAAGCAGCATGTGGGAGGGGGGTCCGGGGCAGGGGGTGAGGGGCAGGGTCAGGAGGCAGGAGGAATAGGGTGGAGAGAGGAGAAGAGCTGAGAGGCAGGTTGATGGCAGCGTGTGAAGGGGATGACTCACCGTCCTCACATCCCCTCACGTCCCCTCCCACGCCCACTCCGTCTAGCCCTTCCCACACCCGCATGCCCCTCCTGCGCTGCGCCCTCTTGTGGCGCCTGGCAGCACCTTGGATCCGTTGGTAGCGAGGTAGCGCTTGGGCTGCCACACCTGCATGCCATTCCCACGCCCTCTCGCCCCGCCTTGCAGCACCCAGCAGCACAGCGCGCACCTTGGATCCGTTGGTGGCGAGGTAGTACTTGGGCTGCCACACCTGCAGAGCGTGGGCTCACATGATGCATGAATCAACGCGCCCCAGTGTCGTATCATCCCCCTCATCTCCGCGCAGCACACGCACCTTGGAGCCATTGGTGGCGAGGTAGTACTTGGGCTGCCACACCTGCAGCGTGCTGTCCCACTGCGGCGTCGTGTTGAACGTCAGCAGCGCCCCCACCCCTGGCAGCGCTCTGATGGGGGGGGGTGAGAGAGGGAGAGGAGGGGGGCGTGTTGGGAGGGACGGGGTGAGTGGGGGTGTTGAGAGGCGAGGGAGGCAGGACGAGGGGAATGGGAAGCGATGGGAGCGATGCCGAGGGGTTCGGAGGGATGAAGAGGGGTCGAGAGGGAATGCGCGAGGGCAGTGCGGCTCACATCTGGGCGAGGGAGAGGGAGGGCTCGCGCAGCTTGGAGGAGGAATCTTCCTCCGCAAGCTCCGAGTCGGGAAACAGAAACCCCGACGCCCTCTGCACCTCGGGAATTCCCGCCGGCGCCGCCCCAAACACGGCGGGAATGGTGTCAGGCGCGCACACACTGTACTTGTCCGACACACGCTGGCACCCCGCTCCCACCGCGTCGGCATCGCGCGGCGAGAGGAAGGAGAAGGTGAAATAGAAGAAGCACGAGTGGCAGATGCGCTGCAGGTTCGGTGGGATGCGTTGCAGAGCGGTGGAGGCGGCGAGGGGCGTGGCGGCGAGGTCGCCCAGCGGCAGGCAGCCCAGCGGGTCGTAGAACACGTCCACATGGCTGATGGCCGTGAAGCGCGCTGAACCTGATGGGGGGAGCGTTGGCGGAGCAGGGGCAAAGGAGGCAGGCAGGAACAGGGGAAGCAGGGAAGCACATGGGGGGGGTCGTAGAACACGTCTATGTGGCTTGTGGCTGTGAAGCGCGCCGAGCCTGATGTGACGCGCGCACAGGGGCAGGGGGGACAGGTGGGACAGGGGGGCCACGTGGGGGAAGGAGGAGCGGCAGATGGGGGAAGTGGTTGCTGTGTGGATTTCACGGGATGGGAATGGGAGATGCGAGCATGGGGATGAAAGCAAGGGGAAGCGCAGCACTCACCCTGTAACAGGGGGAAGCGCAGCACTCACCCTGCGGCTGGGGGAAGCGCAGCACTCACCCTGCGGCAGGGGGAAGCGCTCGTGGGAGGGCGCGTAGTCGAAGGTGGGGTTGGGCTTCCTCAGCTCGTCCGGTGTTGGTAACTGCACGCCCCACGCGCCACGTGCCACGCGCCATGCCATGCCCCATTCCCCATGTCCCATCCCCATGCGCCATGCGCCAGCCAGTCACAGCATGTTGTATAAGGGATGAGTGTAAACGCGGGGCACGTTCAAGGCGATTCAAACGATTTCAAGGGAAAAACACATGCCCATTTCCATTACGCCCCTCGTCTCTCCGATGCCCATCGCTTGTCCGCGCACATGCCCGCGCATATACGGCTGCGCATGTGCGTGCATGCATCGTGCGCCGCGCACGCGCGGGTAAGTCAGACGTACCAGCAGTCCGACCTGGTCGGTGGTCACGAGCACCGTCACCACGCCGTCGAACAGCCGGCTCTCGTACTGCGCGCAGACTTTGGAGTCGACTTAGAAGCTACTTTGTGGCTCACCAGCAGTTTGACTTCATCGGTGGTTACCAGCACCGTCACCACGCCGCGGAACAGACGGCTCTCGTACTCCGCGCGCAGCTGCGTTTCCCCCGCGCCCTGCGCCCACCCCCACCTGATGCCGGGGGAAATGCGCGCGCGCGGAAGCGGCGGAGAGGGGAGACGTTGATGAGTGCGGAGAGGGTCACGCGGCGCAAGGGGAGAGAAGAATTGGTGGTGGCATGGCGATGGCGATTGTATCCGACTCAACCGTCAGTCTGAAAAGAAAAGAATCTGCAAACACCAAAGGAGCGCATGCAGCATCCTTGCGACTCAACTGGGCGTGTGCGACGGTGGCATGACTGGCGACAAGCACGATCGTCGCCAATGCGAACGATTGAAGCGCGCCGAACGACGGAACCATGACGATTGGGATTCCAAGGTTTTTTTAGAAGGGGTGCCAGCCCCCAGGGAAGATGCACGCAACGCACGTCGCTGAAGGCTTACTACAGGCTGATTGCGAGGCGGAGCGCAAAATCTAGGCAATCTTGAAGGAGGGCATGCGATGCGAGTTAGCTATGGCAGTTGGGGGAGGGTTGAATGTAGATAAATGGCGCGAATTGATGGTCAGAGTCAATCAATTGGGTAGGTGACGGGGAGGGTGAAATGGTGGATTTTCGAATTTGGGGAAGACCCGGCGGCAGAACGGGAGGAGGGGAGCGACGGGGAACGGGCAGCGGTGCGACGAGCGCGCACGCGCGGAGCAGGAGATGGCGCAACATGAGATCCACCTGCCCGAACATAGGACCCGCATGACAGTTCACCTGCGCCAGTACCCCGTTACTGTCGCAGAGAAATGTGCACACGCGTTACTGTATAGAGTGAGAGAAGGTGCTTTATTGAACGAGCATATACAAAAAACAATAATGAGCACATTTGGCAGCACACCCTCTTGTCTTGTGCATCAGCATCTACCTACAATAAGTAGTCCCCCAAAACCACTAAGTTTTGGAAAGAAACAAGCATCTCCTGTGCGCGCTGCTTCGCCATTCAACCAAAACACCCGCCGAATCTCCGTTGCTGGTAACCCATAGAGAGAAGAAGGGAGAGCAGTGGCAGAGCCACGCAGCACAGGAGGAAAAAATTAGCGGAGTTACATTGACATCAAACGTGCGTGAGGGCGTGTGTTAGTGTAGCAGGAACAGCATGAACGCAAGGTGCATAATTGCATAGTGGTAGTATACACGCATGGATACATATATGCATGAAGTGTAGACAAGCGCACAAAACAGGGAGAGGGGTGGACAGGAACCTTGCGTAGTTGCAGCTGTTCGATGAGCACTCTCAGCTGCTCCTGGCTGTCCAACAGCTCCTTCAGCATCTGCACACCGGGAGAGAGGAGGGGCAGCGAGAGGCGAGCAGCCAGTGGGGGGCAGCAGAAGGGGGTCAAGGAAGCGAGGTGATGGCACCCCTTCAGCATGGCAGGCACGTGCACACAGCAGCAGACCAGCACCTGAACTTCATACCACACCGACCCAACCCCTTACCCACCCTCTCACCAACTCCCTTAACCACCACACCATCCACCCACACCCACCACCCCTCTCACTCTCCCCTCCCCCCTCCGCGCACCTTCTTGGTGGTGGCGAGTTCTGACTCCAGTGCCGTGACGCGCTCCACTGCTGGCTGCGGCCAGTCCGAGGGAGGCGGCTCTGCCCGCGCGGCCAGGGCTGGCGTGGATGGACCTGATGCCAGCTTCTCCACCTGCCGGGGACGAGGTTTGGGGGGAGGAGGGGACGGCAGGAGGGACGTGGGGAATGCGGGGGAGAAGGGTGTTGTTGGGTCATCATTTGAGCTTGCAACGAAGAGCTTGGCAGCAAGGGCAGGAAGGACAGGCGGAATTAGACAGGTCAGCATCTTCAGAGGCCATGCCAGCGATGCCATGTGCAGGAGAGAGCACGGTCTGTGCATTCGGTGCTATTTGACTAGACGAGCCATCCATCTCCCCTCCACCCAAGCCAGCCCCAAGCGCGTGTAGCAGCCATGCTACCTGGCTCGCGCCTGGGAGCCCCCTCTCAGGCTCAGCCCCCGCGCCCCCGCCCCTCTGCGCGAGCAGACGCTGCACCTGGCTCTCGAGCTCCTGCACGCGCCGCAGCAGCTGCTCCGGCGTCAGCATCGCCTGCTCCCCGGGCGGCGCCATCGCCCCCCCTGCCGCCCCGCCGCCGCCCTCCAGGCGGTGGGTGGGCGGCGTGACGGTGATGACGATGCGGGAGAAGAGCAGCGGCAGGTTGGCGACGGCTGAGAAGAAGGACATGAGCAGTGAGACCAGCCCTGTCGCTGCTGCCAGTGAGTCGGGCGCGGGGGAGGAGGAGGGCGCCATCATGGACACGCCTGCCAGGGCTGCTCCACCTGATGCCGATGCTGATGTGCCTGCGGGATGGGAGTGGAGTGGAGGGCGTGCAGAGGTGTTGGGGATGAGGGATGGTGGGAGGAGTGAGGCATGGAGGGGTCATCTTCACCTGTGTCAGCAAGGCAGACATCAACCAGCAAGGACTTATGAGTCATGTAGGCAGCATGGACCAGCGGCCACCCACCATAGTTTCTGGATGGTGGGGTGGAGATGTGCTTCCCGCGGCTGCCGGATCTCAACGCCGACACAGCTGATCCCGGCGTGCCACTCACACTGACCCGGCCACTCGCACTCCCCGCCCCAGATGCCACCTCCCCCGCGCCCCCACTCAGCCGCTTCACCAAACCCGCACTCATGCCCGTGGAGCTCAGCTCCCCACTGCGGTCATCCGATGCAGCCGAGGCCACGGACCCCGTGCGGGACACCTCGCGCTCGTCCTCACTGGATGTGGCGGACCCTGAGAGGGAGGGCCCTGCGGTGCGGTGGGTGGAGGTGGGGGCGCGGCGCTGCATGCTGGCGGAGCGGCGTGCGGAGGCGGCGTGGGTGAGCGAGGCGGAGGCTGAGGAGGGCGTGGTGGTGGTGGGGTCGTTGAAGAATCGGCTCGAGTTGAGCGAGTTCAGGCGCTGGGAGTGGGGGAGGGGAAGGTGGGGGGTAAAAGGGGGTGGGAAGAGGGGGTCGAGAGAGGGGGGTTGTTGATGGGGAAGGGAGCTAGGGGTGTGTTATGGTGGGGGAAGGCAGAAATGGTGAGCAGGAGGGAATGACAGGCGGAATGGAGGTTTGTGGCAGGCAGGCACAAGGTGGGGTAATGCATGAATTGAGGCGTTTTGCACTTGCAGATCCATGGCCCGTCCTCAAAACCCATGCATGATGGACGATGGATGATAGATGTGCGGAGGAGCATGAGGGCGGGGGGTGTGTTACGAGGTCGAGGTTGTGCAGGTCGTGTTGGCCCAGGTTGAAGTTGGGCGTGGTGAGTCCGCTGAAGGACGGCGTGCCCAGGTCGTCCAGATCCGACACCTCACTGCCCGTGTCTCCTATGTCCTCCGCGTCCAGCTGGGGGAGGCGGGTGAGGGAACAGAGCACAATGGTTGAGGGGCGACGGGAGACGAAACAAAGCACAAGCCATCCGCTGGCCGAAGCCTGAAAAGGAAAAGAAAACTAACAACCTATGGGTTAAACCAACCCACTGACCAGCAACGCATGGTCCACACGGAGCAATCACAGAGGCATGGACTGCACCATAGCGCTGCACGGGTGCAGCAGCGCCCAGAGCCCCCCTAGACACGCACCTTGAACTGGCCCGACTGCCAGCGGATGCGCCCCCCTCGCAGCACGTCCTCGGTGTTGTCGCCGCCGCTGATGGTGCCCGTGCGCTGCAGACGCACGACCCTGAGGATGTCCCCGTCGCGCCACGGGCCCTTGTCCGACATCAGGCAGCCGCCCTCCACGCCCTCACACTTGCACGTGCCGCCAAAGAACTCCGGCAGCTGACTGGCACGCATGGGCGGGCAGGAGGGGAGGCGGTAGGGAGGGAGGGAGGGGGGAGGCAGGGAAAGACAGGGGGAAGGGAGGGAAAGGCAGGGAGACGGAAAGACAGATGTGAAGAAAAGTAAGGACGGCGTGTTAGTGCGCTTAGTGGAAGAGGGGAAGCCATGTGCGGGATTCATGGGAGACATGGAATGGCTGCCTGCAAGTGCAGCCACCATGGTTCACACCATTCATTGTTCACCCACGCCCAAAGGGATTTCCTACCACGTGCAACCCCTTTTCAAACCATGCCCTTCGCAGCGGTTAGCTGGGTGCCCCATGGAGCCCCTCACCTGGGGTCGATGGCTTCAAAGAGCTTCTTCTTGTAGTCCGTGCCTAGCACCTGCACGCACGCACAGATAGGCACACGCACACACGCACGCACGCACAGATACGCACACACACGCACGCATGCACGCACGCACAGATACGCACACACACGCACGCACGCACGCACGCACACGCACACACGCACGCACGCACGCACGCACGCACGCACAGATAGGCACGCACACGCACGCACGCACGCACGCACGCACGCATGCACACACGTATCACACACACACACCCACGCATGCATGACACACACATGAAGAGGAGGATTGGGAGGTGTAGAAACGGCACTTTGAAGTTCACTGGGGCAAATTAGACCATAGATGTGTGTGGGGGGGAAGGTTGGGACAAGTGAAGGTTGGTGTGGACTACAAGCCAAGGTGAAGGGAGGGAGGAAAGCAGCATACGAAGGGTGGCACCAAAACAGGAGAAGAGAAAACGCAAGGGCGGCAGGGTAGCTGGCGGGGGGAGGCAAGGCGGGCAGAGGGAGGCGGTGGGGCGGGGGAGCGGGCATAGGGAGTCGGGAAGGGGGGGTTGGGGCCGAGGGAGGGACCTGGATCTTGGAGGCGGTTTTGGGGTCGAGCATGCCCTTGATGCCCGACCACAGCGATCGGAACGCAAACCCCGCATTCACCACAAACAGCCGGTTCAACGTCTGGCGGGTGGGTGGATGGGGGACGGGGAGGGCGGATTATAGGGGAATGGGCAATGGCAGTGGCAGAGGGGATGGTGAGTGGAGGTGCAAGTGGGATAGGGAATGAGGCACCCGTGGGGAGACGAAGGACATGGGGTAGGGATGGGAGGGCCGGGGAGGGGGGGAGGATTGATGCCATCGCATGCATGCAAACATCGCCCCAAGCTGTGCCCGCCATACCTCAGGGTAGTTATCGCCATCTACTTTCGACACCATGGCCAGAAAGTTCCTCGCATCTGCTGAGAAGTTCTTCATGCCCTGCCATGTGCCATGTGCCATGTGCCATGTGAGGTGGGGAGTGGGACAATGCAGGGCAGAATGAGACGCGCCTGAATGCAGCACTGCGTGCAGCTGGCTGCAGAGATCAAAGGGCACGCGGGAGCATGAGAGGGTGGCGCACCATTTCAGCGACGTCGAGGATGGAGGTGGTCTGGTCGATGTGGCGCTTGGCAGCGAGCGAGCACGCGGGGAACTTGAGTGCGAACGTGCGCTCAAACTCCTTCACGTGGTACTTAAGGAACCGCTCCATCGTTGTTATTCCCAACACCTGCCACCGCCACCAACAGCCAAGACAAGACACCAGCAATGCCAATACCAGCAGCACCACCAGTAGTGGTGACACCACAGACACGAACAAGCATACGGAGGCATGTCAGATTCCACATCTCGTACATCAACCATGCCCCATGCGGCATGCACCATGCACCATGGCCCATCCACCATACCCCATGCGCCATCCACCATGCCCCATGTTCCATACCTCATGCTCCATGCATCATGCCTCATGCACCATGTACGAGGCCCCATTCCCCATGCACCATGCTCCATGCCCCATGTCTCCATGCCCATGCCCCATGCCCCACGCCCCATGCGCCACACACAGGCAGCTCCCACGCCATAGTCACACACAGGCAATGCGCATGGCAGCACGAGGCTAGGGTACGGCAAGGCACGAGCGGGATGCAATATCCTGGACGCCACCACAAGACACCATTCCCACCACCATCCATGCGCGTTTCAACCCCTTCAAGCGTCCGTCCAGCCACCCTCCTTGCCGTCCCTCTCCAGCTTGTTCCCTTTGGTCCCAGCTATATTCACCTCCCCTCTCCCCATGCTTGCTCAACACCCGCCCATTCCCCTTCCCCTCGCCCCACCCACCCCCGCCCACATCGGTAGCGCCAACACAGCATACCACCACCCTTGCAGCTCTCTGTTCGCCGCCCTCCCGCCCTCTCTCGTCCCAGCTAACAGCCGCTCCTCCCCCCCCCCCCCCCCCCTCTCCCCTGTGAGCGTGCACCTTGGTGGCGTCAACACGGCCAATGAGTTCGATGTAGACGGGGCGGCCCTCGCGGTCCACGCCGTGGTGCCCGTGCGGGTACACGCGCTTCACCTCCGCCAGCTCCGGGAACTCGAACTGCACACACGCGCGGAGGCGTGGGTGAGGGGGCACGCGGGCGTGGGGAGTGGGGAAGTGGGGGATGGGGGCGTGGGAACGTGGGGAGATGGAGTCATGGGGACACGCGGCATGGGGGCATGCGGGTATGGAAGCATGGGAGCACGGAGGCATGGAATTTATGGGCCACACACACTGATGCATTTATAATTCCCACCTTGAGGCATTCATCGACGCCGAACTCCTCGCGCCACTTGAGCATGTTGGCCCACATCTCCGTCGTCTTCTCCATGTCGAACTTGCGCGCCTTCAGAAACCTGCCGCCCAGCCCCCCCACAAGGACAGCGGGCAGAGAGAGGGGCGGAGGGAGGGCTGGATGAGGGCAAAACGAGGCGCGCGGCATGCAGTGTGTTCCTGTCAGCATGCGGTGGTCGTTATATTCACCCGAGAAGCATGTGATGCTCATTGGACTCCTCTGATTACGACGTAACGTTCGTTCATTTCACCTGGAACCAAGCAGTGTGTTGTTTGAATTCAACTGTGAAACATATAGTGTGTTCCACGGATTCACCTGAACAGCATGGCCTCTGCTGGATTCACCTGAGCAGCATGTGGTGCTCGTTGAATCTGGGCGGCAGCAGGTTCTTCTCCGCCAGGATCTTCCGCAGCTCGCCCACCTTCGCCAGCTCCTCCTCCGTCCGCTCGTCCTGAATCTCCTGAAGCTTCTCCAGAAGCTTCTGGTACTTCTTCTTCTTCATCGTCTGCTTGAACTTTTTCAGCATCGGCACTTTCGGCCGCAGCCGCCGGTGGTGGTGACCGGGTTCATCCTCGCTGCGCTCCGCATCGTCCTCCGATTCCAGGTCGTGCAGTTGTCGCTCCAGCTTCTGCTCCTTCCGCTCGCGCCGCCGCCGCTCCTTGTCGTCATGTTCTAGCTCCCAGTCCCGCTTGCTCATCCCGCGTCGCAACGTCGGGATGCTGCGAAGCGTCGGAGTCCGCGGCGTGCGAGGCGGTCGCGAGGGGTGAGGCGGGAGGTCCGCCATGGCTGCAGTGGTGGTCTTGCGTGTCGCGCTTTATTGTTCAAAACGAGGCAAACAGAGGCTACAATGCGAGAAAATATACTTTGCGAAGGACCGAGTTTGCTAACGGAGTACGGGGAGGGAAAAGGAACTATCTAGCGGTCAACAAAGCGTTCCGGCTAAAACGCAGTTTTTGCTATGCTTGGCACCTAGAGAATAGCGGCGTTTCGGACTGAAAGCTCCTTGAGTCCACTATCTAATGATTAGGTGTACACGTCAGAAGGAAGTAGTGAGGCCTTTAATCGAAACGGCAGAAACAACCGACGCTGCTACAGTCGACTATGGTTACCGTTACAACCCTAGCGTCAAGTTAGAAGTGGCTGAATGCGATGTACAAGTATGGCAATAACAAAAAGCAGCAGCAGCAGCAGCAGCAGCTGGGCTGGGAGGTGAGCTAGCACGAATGCAGGACGACACGAGCAGGGGAAATGGCTTCCCTGCCAGCTTGGCCGCGGAAGAACGTAAAGGTGCCAGTAAAAGAAGGGGTTGCGTTGCGTGGCGAACAGCGCATCGGAGCGAGGCGGGGAACGGCGGGGTGGTTTGAGAAGAGGTGGGAAGAGGCGAGAAGATGCTTGGAATGATGGAAGTGCAGAGGAGTCAAGCATCACACAACGGCAGCAGGCGAATAGAAAGGGGGGAAGGGGAGGTGCGGTTGGGGGAAGGCACGATCAAACGAAGGGGGTGCGCGGCGGCGGCGGAAGTCGCGGGAAAGCCACAGGCGTTTGCGGGGAGCGGGAGAGGTGTTGTGCGGAGCCTGTATGGGTCACGGATACGCGCTGCGGACGAAAGGGGCACCCACCGAACCTATTCGTTGAGAAACCCCTTGATGATTCCGCTGGTTCGGGAAAGCGCAAACCAATGAGATCACTCCAACAATATGGGACCACTTCAGGACCCGAGTCGAAGGGCATCTCTTACAGGCATGGAAATATGCCCGTTGGACCAGCCTTTGGCCCTTGAAAAAAATTGTTACAGATGAGGATATCAAATTGAACACTAATTCGTGCTAGTATGAACATTCAACACAACTTTCTGCCATTCATGAATGGCCACCACAGTAGCTTCCAAAGCATCATCCAGGTAGATCCATCACATCCGAACACTTTGGAGCTGAGTGATGTGTGAAGGAGACCATAACCTGTGAAAAAAAATAGATAGACACATATTGTAAAACAAACACAACCATGTGTACCATTCAAGGGCATAAATCAATGACGAAGTGAAAACTGATGTATGCTTGGCTTGAGGAGGGGAACACATACCATTAGATGGAGGAGGAAGACATAAGCAAGTAGAAGGAAGGTGCGGCGAGACACTCTCCCCGGCGCAGCAGACAGGCGATCATCGTCAATGAAAAGGCGGCGGGCCGAGCCAACCAGTGAGGCCAGTGTGCCTGCTGACGTGGCAGCCAGATTCTGGCTTGAATGTGCAAGGCGAGACTTGCGTAATCTGTCAGCGGATGATGGCCCGGCCTGTGGCGATGCATGATCGAGGGAAGTGGGGAGAGATGGAGGGTGGGGAGTGGGGACTAATGAAAGGAAGGAAACCTGAATTGACTAGCAAATGTAATCAGACAAGGGGGAGGAGGTTGGAAGGACACTAGAGGCAGAAACCCTCTTAATCACTTTGCACGATTGGCTCACCTCCACGTCGCCCTCGCTCTCCGCCTTGAGCTTATCCTTCCACCGCACCGCCTCCAGCCCCAGCCCCTCCAACGGGTTGCTCCACCCCGCTCCCCCACCCCCACCCCCACCCGCCCGCGCCTTGGCCGACGATGCCACTGCCGTGCTGCTCCCACTGCTCCCCGCACCATCACCGCTCCCTCTCCTGAGCCCTTCCTTCTCAGAAGCTTCCTCCGCCTTGGAAGCGCGGGAAGCAGCAGAGGCCACCTGCTGCTCCAGCTCGCTCACCCTCCTCTGCAGCCGCCGCTCCTCCTCCCCCGCCCTGTTGGACGCCTCCAGTGCTGCCACCTGGCACCCCGGGCAGCGTGTGAAAAAAGAAAAGAAAAAAGGGATTCCTCGGTCATTCCTACACCACACCCTGCCTGTCTGCCATGAATGCTCAAACGCCCCTGCCCCTTCCACCCATTTCCAGCAAAGCCATTTTCTTCTTTTCTCTCCTTGTCATTGCACCCCTCCTCCTGGACCATCAGGAGTGCTCACACCTTGAGCGAAGTGTTCTCGCGCTGCACCTCTGCCACCTGCTGCCGCAGTGCCTCCACCTCCTTCTCCCTCGCCCCCACCGCTGCCTCTGCCTCCGCCCTCCTCGCCTCAGCCTCTGCCAGCTGCCACGCAGGGGGTTGGGGCGGGAGGGTAAGGGGATTGCATTGAATGGCGAGCAGCGGTAGGTGCAAAGACAAGCAGGCGTCTGGGAGGAAGGAGAGACATGCACTGTCAGACAGAATCAAGCAGGCGATTCACTTGTCAAAGATTGATGGAGTTAACAAAGGGTTGATGCCGAAGGAGAAGAGGCAAAGGTCAGCCACATGTGCTGACTTGCACTGACCTTGCCTTGCAGCTGCTTGCCAATCGAGCCCCATTTGGGGGCCATTGTTCAATACGTGGCAGCAAATTACTTGTGTATGACACCAGGGTAGGTGAAATTGTGATTGCGTAGGGAACGCTTGTGTAAAGGGTGATGATAATCGGTTTCGGCGTTAGACGCCTTCTTCAGACCAACCTTGCCTTGCAGCTGCTTGCCTGCCTGCCTCTCCCCCTCTGCCTCCGCCAGTGCTGCTCTCACGCGCCCCTCCCCCTCCTCCACCTCTCTCCTCAGTCGCTCCACAGCCACCTGCTGCTGCACCTCCCTCCCCTCCGCCTCCTCGCCCTTCTTCTCCAGCGCTGCTCGCTCCCCCTCCACCTCCACCAGCCGCACCTGTGGTGGCGTGTGAGAGGAGGCTAAGGGGTCAAATCTGGAAATCTGAAAACGATGGAGGAGTGTGACTGGTGGGGGGGGTAATGTCCTGTTCCTCAGAAAACAGATGGGAAGAGCGAGCGTGCATACAAGAGTGAAACACGGATGCAAGCCACTGCCACCTTAACACCTACACACCTCCAGAGCTCGCATGTCTTGTCTCATCTGCTCCATCGTCTCCAGCTGCTGCTGCACCTGCTGCGGATAACGCCTCATCCCGCTCCTCCTCCAACTCCTGCACCCAGGCCGGCACACACGTGCACAGAAGACGTTGCGAGGAGCGGAAGATGTTGTTGGGGAGGGAGAATGGAGCATGATGCAATGTGATTGGATGGGATGTGATGGGACGTGATGGGGAATGGTGGAGCATGATGGAAAGTTGTGATTCACTCACAGTAACATGTTCCTGGCGGCCAATCATCGCCTGCATGTGCTGACTCACCGACTGTATCCGGCTGACAGCAGCCTTGACAGCGGCGTTGAACAACTTTGCACGCCGCTCCGTCTCCTCCCTCAGCTGCTCACTCGTGCCCTCCGCCTGCCCGCATGCACGCAGGGAATGGGACCAACACCCAGGATGAGTGGACCAGGTGTAAAACTAAGCACGGAGGGTGAATATGAGAGGAGGCAAGGGGTTAGTGAGGGAGAAAGGAGAGAAAAAGGCATAAAATCAGGAATCATAGAGACAGGACCTGCTGATCCAACCTGCTATCACTGCACTGCACTTCACTTCTCCATTCCTCCCTCACACCCCACATCCTACCCCCTCATTTCCCGTCCCCACACTGCCTCCTCCCCCCCACACCTGCGCGCGCTGCCTCTTCGCCTCCTCGGCCTGCTGCTCCGCCTCCGCCGCTCTCTGATTGGCCAGCGCCAGCTCAGCCTCCACAGCAGCGAGCCCACGCCGCACCTCCTTCACCTCTCTCTCCCCCGCCGCCACCTTCCCCTTCAGTTCCTCCGCCTCTGCAGCTGCGCTGGCAGCAGCAGCGGTGGCGGCAGAGAGCTTGGCCTCGAGCTGCTGGGTCTCCTCTGCGTGCACGCCCCGTGCGCGCGCCTCCTTCCTCGCTGCATACACCTCCGCCATCGCCTCTGCTACCTTCACGCCCCCCTCCGCTGCCTCCCTCCGCGCCACCTCCAACTGAGGGTGCGAGGGGTGGGGGAGTGAGGGGAACGGGGAGAGAGTGAAGGGGACGGTTAGGAAAGGGGGGGAGGGGGAATGGAGGTTGGTGTAAGAGGAGAAGGGATGGGGATTGAAGAGCATGGTGGGACACATGGGAGCGAGGAGCAAGGGTGAGAGGAGGCAGAAGCAGAGCAGTGAGAGAGGCCAAGCGAGATGCGGGATGCAGCAATGCACCTCATACACGCCCCAGCGCACCCCTTGCACACCCCAACGCCCCTCATGCACGCGCTCAACGCCCCTACCACCACATACCCCCACGCACCTCGGCCTGCAGGTGCGCGAGCTGAATGCGGGCAGCCTCCATGCCGGCTTCTCTCTCCCCCGCCACCTCCTCCAGCTCCGCCCTCTCCGCCTCACTCGCCCTCACCGCCTCCCTCGCCTCCGCCAGCGCCTTGTTCGCCCCCGCCACCTCCTCCCTCAGCTTCTGCACCTGCTGCTGTGCCGCATCCCGCTTCCTCTCCACTGCCTGGCATGTGCACGCGTGGGGATGATTCATGGATGCACGGACAAATGGGAATGGCAAACAGGGGCAGATATGCACATGCACAGACACCCACCCCAGCCCACACACTGCTACCAACGCACACATCAATACCAATCCACACACCCGTACCAACCCACACACTCTCTCGCCGCCAGGACTCTCTCATACTAGCTCTGTGCCCACCCGCAGGCCCGTCCTGTGTGTGTGTGAGCCCAGCCCAGCGCGCACCTCAAGGTCCTTCTTGTGCGCGGCAGCAGCAGCACTCGCCATGGCCTCCGCGGCCTCCACCTTCCTCCGCCACTCGCGCCTCTCCTCCTCCGCCGCCCGCACCATGCCCTTCTTCTCCCCCTCCAGCTCCGCCACGCGCGCCTCCAGCGCGCCCACGCGCTCCTCCAGCTCCCCCATCTCCTCGTCCGCGCCCGCCTCCACGTCCGCCATCTCCGCCTGCAGGCTGCGCGCCTTCACGCGCTCCGCCTCCAGTTCGTCCTCCATCCGCTCCACCCTCCGCGCCATCTGCTCGCGCGCCTTCGCGTCCGCCTCGCGCCCCTCCGCCGCCTCCGCCAGCGACGCCTGCAGCTGCGCGCACAGCACCTGCAGCCGCTCCACCTCCCCCTCCGCCTTCCGCCGCGCTTTCTCCCGCGCCCCGCTCTCCGCGCTCAGCTTCTGCGCCTCCTCGTCTCGCCTCCGCTCCTCCTCCGCTCTCCGCCTCTCCGCTTCCTCCCTCCCCTTCTCCGCCTCCCGCGCTGCCGCCTGCAGCCGTGTCAGTTCGCCCTTCATCCACGTCAGCTCCTCCACGAGCGCTGTCTCCCTAACAGCGCTCACCTCGCGCTGCTGCGCCAACTGCCGCCGCAACGACGCCACTTCCCGTCGGCTGCTCTCCCGATCCTCCTCTTCCTCCTCCTCCTCCTCGCTTCCCCCTCCCCTCACCGCCTCGCTGGCACCCGCAGAAGAACTCGCCGCTGGGCGATCCCCGCTGCCCCCTTCCGCGGCTCCGCCTGCCGCCACCTGCGCGTGCCCTCCCGGTCTCCCACGGCCATCCTCACCTCGTGCTAACCCATGCCTGGAAGAACCCTCGTTTTGACCCTGTCCCTCCCCACCCGCGCTCTCTCCTTCCCCATCCGCTTCGCGACTCTCCGCCAGCAATTCTGATTTTTGCTTCCCAGTTTCACTGGAAGCCGCTTTTTCTGATTCCGTCCCGTCAACCGCAGCGACCGCATCACCGCCCCCTCTCGTTTCGTCTGTGAGTCCTGCCACGTCATCCGACTTACCGAAAAGCGTTCCCGGTCGCTCTTCCGCTGCGCGCGGCTGCGGGTGCGCGTCCGTCGCGTGCGCGGGCTCCAGAAAGGACATGAGCCCGCTGGACTGTGGTACAACACCGGGAATTGCATCACCGCTACCGATATCCTCGCTAATAGACGACGCGGTAGCGGGAAGGTCACCATCGCGAGTGGACGGCGTGGGAAGGCTCGTGTTGGGCGCGACAGCGGAGCCTGGGTGGTCCGACGATTCCCCACGTGGCTCATTGTCAGTCGTGGGCTCCAGTGCGGAGGCGGAGGGATGCGACGACAAGGGAATTGGCTCCTCGGATTCTCCTGACGCGACTCGCTCATCAGCCTTCGCTTCTTCCTCGTCGTCCTCCAGACCCCATCCGTCCTCCTCCTCCTCTTCCTCTCGTCCCTCTCCTTCTCGCTCGTCTCCTGACTGCACTCCCACCAATCCCAGGATGCCCGACCCGGCTAGCCGAGGCGCAACGGCTTCCTTGATCATGCCTGTCTCGCGGAGCGCATCGCGGCCCAGCTCCTGCAGCCCTTCCTTCACGACGGCTTGCAGGCCCTGAAACCCCTTCCACATGGCAATCTACTTCTTTTTCGAACTTATAACAGTTACATTAGGCGGGAAAAACTGTGACCTGGCTAATTCGGGTTTTCGAGGAGAAACAGGCTGTTGGTAAGTGGCCAAGCTGGTGTAATAGGCTGATTGCGATCTCAAGGGCGGAGAGCATTCAATTCCACGATTCCGCCATGGTTACGATTCCACGATTCATCAACCACTGCACCAACTCCAAGGTCCCGTTTTCCAGAACTGCTAGGTATAATGCGTCATAACGCGGATAAATTATACGGAACAGTTTGCAGTTTCCCAGCTGTATTTCGGTTATGGACGTCTATTGAATTGAGGTACATAATCGCTGGAATTTCTCGGCGGTATGCCATTGGTAGTCAAATGTACAGCCAATCCGTGACCTGGTTCGCCCTGCCTGACAGCGTGACGTCAGCGATGCATTCCGCCGCAGCGAAACCGTCTTCGCGAGGCTTCGCCGAGGGCCGGTTTGACAAACCTGTCGCCTGGGAGGTTACACGTGGGGGCAGTGTTCTCCACGCTGACACAAGTTTCCAAGGTTCGGTGAATGCGCGGAGACCCCAAGAAGGCGGCCAGGCGGGAGCAAAGAAGCGGAGCGGTGGCGAGAAAGGTGCGCTCGGAAGACGTGACTCGCGCACGGAAATCCACCACCTGAGATGAATGTGACCTGCTCTGTGCCTCGTGTGTGTCGTCCATGACTGGTGGTAAGATTGGTTTTGAACGTTCCCAAGGTTTTCGCGTCGGTATGAGTGATACCAGAGACTCCATGGACTAGGGCATGGGATCATCCGCCTACACACGGAACTTGGAAAACCAAGGGATGCTGCTGTTGACTCTGCTCCGCTCCACCTCACTCCACTCCAGTCACACGTTGACGCCAACCCTAGCTTCTCGATTACAACCAGCGACACACCAGCAACCGTCTCTGCTTATTAGCTTTAGTTTCCAGTAGTCCTTGTTAACTACACTTTTCCCGTTCTTCGCGCATCCTTCCTCGGTCGTTTCAGCGTTAGGATAAGACAGCGTCACTTACAGATTTGTCTTCTTTCGGTCTCAACTTGTTGAATATTCCTCGCTCTCCGTGTTCTCCCATCCATGGCTGCCCCTGCTGCTCCTACGATGCAAGCAAAACTGGTGAGCGACGGAGACAGCAGCGAGCCGTTATTTCCTGACAGCGTCTTCAATCGGAAGCAACAGTTCGTCACCGGATTTTGTTTTCCCTACGGCATCCGTCGTTCCTTATAGAAACATTTACCATCGTCGGGTCTCATGTTGTAGCCGCCGACGACGCTGTTGGCAGTCGCTGCTCCTATGACATCGACAGCCCACAAAACTGCAAGTTAATTAGCCTACAGCTCACAGATTCATTCATTCATAGGATTGACTTTTTAAAAAACCGGCAGTGTACAGAGTGACCTCCTGCCATTTCGCCGTCTCCAGTCGACGACACCCCCCTCTCCTTTCGTCCTCGTTGATCTCCGCTCGTCGCACTCCTCTTCGCTCTCCGCGACGCTCCCATCTCTTCGCTCTCCTCATCGCCCTCCTCTCTTCGTTCTCCCCGTCCCTCCCCTCTCTTCGCTCTCCTCTCTCTCTTCGCTCTTCTCATCGATCCCCTCTCTTCGCTCTCGTCTTCGCTCTCGTCTTCGCTCGCCGCTCTTCGCTCTCCGCGCACAGGTCCTACTGGGCGACATGGGCGCGGGGAAGTCGTCGCTCGTGCTGCGGTTCGTCAAGGGGCAATTCTTCGAGTACCAGGTGCGGGTTGCGCAAGGCACTCTGACACGCATAACTGAGAGGCTCGTGCTGCATCCAAGTTCCGAGTGTCGCTTCGCTCCACTACTGTCGGTCTCATTCTCTTCCGTCTCTTATTCACCTCTTATCTGGCAGGCCACCCTCACCCACCTTGTTCAATCGTGTGTCTCGTTCCTACAATCCCTACCCACCACCTCATTTCAGTCCCATCTTTGTCTCCGCCGTGCGCCCCACCGCAGGAGTCGACCATCGGCGCCGCGTTCTTGACGCAGACGGTGGCGGTGAGCGACGCGGTGGTCAAGTTCGAGATCTGGGACACGGCGGGGCAGGAGCGCTACCACAGTCTCGCGCCCATGTACTACCGCGGGGCCGCCGCCGCCATTATCGTCTACGACATCACCAGCACTGTGAGCCGCTGGGCCTCGTTCGTTTTGCTCTGCTGCTCCTGCTGCTTTTGGTCTGGTTTCAGAGCGGTGGGCCAATTTTGTGACCTACTTCGCCCTACTGCGGTTTCTGACCTTTTTTTGGTGGTGTCTCTTGCATGTGTTTTGCAATGCCGTTCCTTATTTGCGTATGCGCATGGCTTATGGGATGCATGGCTTCTGGGGCGCATGGCATGTGTGGGTGCGTGTTACGTGCGTCTTCAGGATTCGTTTGCTCGAGCCAAGAAGTGGGTGCAGGAGCTTCAACGGCAAGGTACGTGTTTATATCCAATCAGCTTGCGATGAGCACCGCTGAGTACAATGGCGCAAGTTGGGGCGCAAGCATGTCATCACCTTAAGCTCTTTTCAGTCTCATACTCCATACCTTTTCCCCCTGTCGCTATGCTGCATATACCTTTCCCCGTTTCCCCATAAATCTGTAGCATGTCTCCATTATGTTGTCCCGTTCTCGTCCATCATCATCTATCCCATCATCCATACCTAAAGTAGTACTTTGCCTCTCCCTTGTCTTTGCGCGCCCCGCACGTCACCCTCAGGTAACCCCAATCTGGTGATTGCCCTGGCAGCGAACAAGACAGACCTGGAGGCGCAGAGAAAGGTTTCTGAGGAGGTGAGTGTGGGTGCGGGAAAGGGGAGGGGATGAGGGACAAGGGAGTTGGGGGTCAGTATGGATTGAAAGAAGGGGATGCCTGCTTGTCATGGACAGCCGACTAATTGTTGTCACCGTTTTTGTTTTGCTGTATATTATGTCATGTCAATGTCGTATTATGTCATGTCAATGTCGTTATAGAACCATATATTCTTACTTCTTGACTTGGACCTCTGGTTTTGTGCATGGGATTAGGAGGGGAAACTGTACGCTGAAGAGAATCGGCTTTATTTTCTGGAGACTTCTGCCAAAACAGCCACGAACGTCAACGAGCTTTTCTATGAGATAGGTATGCAGTGCATGCACACATTTCCATTGTCAGTGCCGCTTCTCTGTGTGTACAATGTGTGGTTTTACTGCGTCTTTACTGCATCACTGACATTTCAATGGTAATTGTTTGCAGCACGAAGGCTACCGAAGGGAGCTCCTCCACAGCAACCTGTTGGTATGCAGCTTCACAACAGGCCAAACCAAGCCTCTAATTCATCAAGTTCCTGCTGCTGATATGTTTATACAGTGTGTATTGTATTGCTGCATATCTTGCGAATTTCACAAATCTGTATAGGTCTTTTGTTGATAATGAAACAACTCGGATAAGATGGCTTTCAATGTAAACTTCTCCTGCCACTGTGTATTACTTCACAACTTTTATGTTTTTTTTCTTTAAGATTATTTGATAGGCATACACCGAAAAGAGCAAGCATATGCTACCAAAGACGGTCGTAACCGTGCTTAAGGAACAGTAGACAAAACTACCGCCCTAGCCGAGACACCGAGTGCCGAGCCCTCCTGTTGGACCAGATCGCCACAAACGCATTTGTCCATTTCCAACCGCTGCCATCCTGCCTTATCTTCTGCATCAGCCTTTGCTCCTCTGCCGGGCCCTTCTGCTTCTGCTTCCGCCACGTCACCCCGAACTTGCGGAGGTAAAATTTTTCATGTTGCTTGAAAGCGAACTCGATTTTGTGCAGCAGCCGCTGCGTTCGGAATTTCCCGCCCCGGAACACGGCGTCACAGCGCTCCAGCCATAATTGATGGAAGGTTATCGCCGTGATGGTTAGCTCCGGAAAAGCTGAGCTGGTGCTGGTTTTCCGGAACAGGAGGTCACCCAACGTGGCCGTCTCACGATTGGGGTTGAACATGCACAGGGCACGACGAAGGGCTGTGGTGACAGCCTGGATGCGGGGGCACTCAACGAGGCAGTGCTCCAGAGTCTCTGGCTCCCCACAGTACGGACATAGGGCCTTGCTGCTGAGGAAGGCCAGCCGCTCCCCCACTTGTAAATTTAAGTCGTGGATCCAGATGAGCATATCACGTGGACGGCTGGGGACCGCTAGTGAGTCTCTCGTCCAGATTGCCTGCTTCCAATCAATCTGCCCGCCCCAGCGTTCTGCCCACTTCTGTTGCTTGTATGACTGGGTGTGAACTCCCGTCCAAGCTTCCCTCATTTGCCGCAAAGAGATCAGCTGCCCGTTCGAAAAAATGTTCTGCTTCCCTCCAGAGTCAGCCGAGCAGGGGAGCACCGTCGGAAACCCCAGCACTCGGAGCCACAGAGCAGGAACAGCGCCCAGAGCCTTTGCTGCTAGTCTCGCGGGGCCGCTTCCTCCTAGCTTCTGGGTCAATTCCGCCATGGAGAGCGACACCAGCTCCCTATCAGCTCCCACTTCCAGCAGATCTTTCACCCTGATCTCACGCAGCTGTTTCGCGTCTTTCTGCCCTCCGACGGGAGTGGTTCCGTTAAGCAGAATATTTGCGTTGAAAACCACCCGTTCCCGCAGCACTTCCTCCCTTGTCGCCGCTACCGGCCGGATGCACAGGGGGGAGCGAATGAAACATTCGCAGGTCTGCTTCCAGCGGATGCTCTGGCCGTCCCAGTGCTTCATCAATTTTTCATGTGATGCGAAGCTGTCTACTCCCAAAGGTAAGTCAGCCGCCTTGTTCATGATGTCACGCTTGACCGGGTCCTTTTCTGTGATAAACAGCCCCACCCTCCTGGCCGCGAGGCAGGAGATCACTGCTTCCGGGTCTCTCACGCCGATCCCCCCCGCTTTCCTGGATGTGTACAGGAAAATTTTGCTCTAGAGAATGAAACCTTTCGCCGCTAAGACTCTGTTTCCCGAGACAAAGCCGTGAATGAGGTGAGTGACATCATCCCACGTGTCAGCAGGCGGTGGATAGATCTGCGCCTGGAAGGCCACGATCGGGACGATGTAGTAGGTGACCACCGTCGCTCTGGCTGACGTGGTGAGATACTTCTGCTTCCACTTAATCAGTTTCTTCGTGATGTGACACAGGGCCTTTTCCCAGGTCTTCACACCGCTTCCCGAGGGCGACACCCATATCCCCAGCAGTTTCTCCGCATCATCTGCGCCAGCCCACTTGAAGCTACCGCCGCTGTCATCCTGAGCTCCCAAGTTGGCACCCAAGGGGAGCACCACCGATTTGGACTTGTTGGTCGCCAGACCTGAAACTCTTTCGAATCTGTCCAGGATTTTCTCCGCACTGACGATCTGCTCTTTCCCTTGCAGAACCAGAGTCGTGTCGTCTGCGTACCCCAGATAGTTCAGCCGCTGCTCGTCCTTGCTCAGCCCCAGCTTCGCCCTTTCGATCTCCTGAGCCAACGGTTCGACTGCGCACAAGAACAGGTAGGGTGCCAGCGGACACCCCTGTGTTACGCCAGACACCACCTCCAACCCTTCTCCAAGCCAGCCGTTGACCAGGAGTTTTGTGGATGTGCCTTCGTGCAGGCCCTCAACCCACTTCACAAAGAGCGGAGGGAACCCCATCCCCCTCAGCACCTGGAAGAGGAAGTCCCTGGATAGAGAGTCGAAGGCCTTTTGGAAGTCAACAAGGAGGAGATACCAGTCCTCACCGCCGTTCTTGGCCGCGTCTATGATATCAGCCACCAGCGCCACCGCATCAGAGAGCCTCCTCCCCGGAAGAAAGCCGTACTGCTCCGGGGAGATCACATGATGCAGCACCGTCTTCATCCTGCCCGCCACCACCCTCGCCAACACCTTGTAAGTGAAATTAAGCAGCGAAATAGGTCTGTAGTTATTGAGCTGATCACGGTCGCCTTTCTTATGCAGGAGAATCGTCACCGCTTCCTTTATCTCCGCCGGCAGGGAAGCTGATGTCTCGAAGTCTCTTGCCATTGCCATGAAACTCCCCCCAAGCAGGTCCCAGTGCGCTTCGAACAACTCTTTCGGAAGCCCGTCACTCCCCGGGGATTTGTTCTTCGCTAGCGCTGCGAAAGCGTTTTTAACCTCCTGCTCAGTCCAAGCTGCTGTTAGAGCCGCCGTAACTGTCCCGTCTAGGCGCCGGTTTGGATCGATCTCCCAGCCATCGAAGTCCACGCGCCTGTCTCTCCCAAAGATGTTGTTAAAGAAGGCCGAGGCCGCAGCAAGAACTTGCTTGGGCCCCGTGACCGCCGCCCCACCGATATTCAACTCCGTAATCTGTGTTCTTGCTTTCCTCGCTTTGACTTTTGCCGGCAGGTGCTTTGATGCGATTTCACCGGTCATCTCCACTGTCAGCCCAGCTTGCTGGTGCAAGCGCTCCTGCCTGGCCGCTTGATACTGCTTCAGCTGCAGCTCCTTAGCGTCTAAGAGCGCTCTTTTCGTGAGGCAGCCGGGGTCCCCCATCGCCTCCTGCTTCAGCTGAGCAACTGCCTTGGTCAGATGCGTCAATGTTGCCCTGACCCTTTTGCTTTCCTCCTTTGCGTATGCCCTGAGCCCTGCTCCCAGGCGCGAGATGAGCAAATCAAAGCTGCTGCCGTCATTCACAGGCGTCCTGCGCACCGTTGCCTCAATGATCTTCCGGACACCCTCCCGATGGACCATTGAGGCGTGCAATCTCCACATCCCCGGACCTGTGCAGACTTTAGCATCCAGGCGAAGAGCAACCTTCACCGCGAAACTGTGATCTGAAATTGGTTCGTCAGGTTTGTCATGCGAAGCGGCGGATAGGAAGGGTAAGAGCGACTGGGACAGAAGCGCGCGGTCAATGCGAGTGCTGGCTTTCTGAGCTTTAGAGTAAAAGGTATATTCTCTATGTCTCGGATATAGGGTACGGAAGGCGTCTGAGAGCTGGAAGGCAGTGCACCGTAAGAGCAGTTTGTCATTTTCTGTTGAAGAGCCCTGGCCGGAAGTCCTGTCCAGCTTCGGGTCGTCGGTTATATTCAGGTCACCTATCAGCAACAGTGTTCGGTGGGGGAGAGGCTGTCTACTATCGGGCCTAAGGAGTCGTGAATGAATCTGGATCTGATGGCGGGGTCCGAGGGGAAGTATACGACTAAAAGAGTAAGATCTAGTCCGGGTGGCTTAACAGTCGTCCTAATCAGTCGTCCTGAAGGGTGAATGAAGGTGTCATGAAAGGTAACAGCAGGGTTCCTACTGAGAATGGCAACCCCGCCGGCACGCGTGAGGTAAGAAGAGGCTATGGATGTGGTGTCTGTGAGAGATGTCCAGTAGTTATGACTCGGTCCTATTCTAGTGTCTGCTAAGACATTGATGTCGGCTGCTTTGGATGAGTGGAGCCATCTAGTTACACGGTCACGCTTGTCACGGTTCCCTAGGCCGTTAACGTTGAGGCTCGCAATGGTGAGGTGGTTTTTGTAATTCATGGATCCACTGCCTTGAAGGCCCTTATCATCTACAGGCCGGTAAAGGATACAACACAGACAACGCTGACTCTTAGACTCCATCTGGCAGCAACATCCAGTCTCCACTCCAGGTCAGTTAATCGCCGTACTCCTTCCGGATGGCAGCAAGCGACTGCTTGGTCGCAGCTCCTGTCTTCTCTAGATGCAGCATGTGTGCCGCAGTTGCAATATGCTTCGTAGCTGTCATAAAACTCCTGCCGTGCGCCTTTCCGCAACCCTCCTGAACACAGATCCATTCCTCCCTGCAGCTGCCGGTCGAGATGAGAGCCAGCGCGGGATCGCGGAGCAGGGGGAGGACTATCGCGGAGGTGCTCAGGTACGCCGCTGCAACAGTCAACCATAGAGTCAGTACAGAGGAAGTCAAGAAAAACCAACTCGGGATCCTCAGAGGTGAGCGAAAGCTGTAAAGTAACATTACCGTGAAGCCTGTGAACTTTTCCCAGGGTCAAGTTCCATTTTCCTACGTTATTCTGCCGCTCAGTGGTGAAAACATCATGATACTTATCATAATGCTGACCCCCATAGAGTGAGCAGGAGAGCGAAGGATAATGGACGAGAAGCCTCTTCGCGCGGTCAGCCGGATCAGGGATGGCGTGAATACGGCGGTGAAGATCGTTCGGATGAGGGTAGACCAGACCCTTCACAACATCAGTGTCCGCGCCTGTCACCGGGTGAAGAACGCGGTGAAGGCAATTGCAACGCAGGAACGCGGAGCGGTCCCAGCTCGCGATCTTGTACAACGCCAGCTGATCATGAATCATGCTTAACTACACCGAAGCAGACACCCCCTTTAAAACAACTTCGATGGCGTGCGGATTCAGCGACCTCTCACGGCTGAACGCAGCATCTTCCAGATGCTGCCAGTGAAGCTTGTGGAGCTTGCCGTTAAGCGCTTGGTAAACCACTTCTTTCCTTGCCACCCAGGCCGCATCTGACTCCAAGACGAAGGAAGCCTGAAGCCGGCAGTAGCGGATCTTCGCAATGTAAGCTGGCTGAAGAACCTGAAACTTGACCGTCTGCAGCACGTTCGGTGAGAGCTCATTGTACCAACCACGCTTCATCAGCATCTTAATCGCATCGATAATGCAGGAAATTTCTTGAGCAAGAACGAAAGGGATCAGCAAAATGGCCGTGGAGCGCAGCATGGACGACGCTTCCTTGTCCAGATCCACCACCATATCGTCGTCGAAATCATCGTCCGAGAAACCATCCTCATCGGTGAGTGCTGAGCCGCTGGCGACAGCCTTCGTGTTAGACTTCTCAAGCTCAGAAAGGCCGGATCCGCTTGCAGCAGAGTCATTGTTGCCAATCAGCTTGTTAGATGGCGAGCTGATCTCATCACTTCCTGTCTTCCTTCCATCGGCAGGCTTGGACCCCGGATCAGATGGCGCATTGACACCGACCGAGGCAGCAGAATCAGCCGCAGGCTTGAGCGCTGACCCTTGGGATGAGACATCGCGCAATGATGAAGTCGGAAGAGCAGAGAGTTAGACTGAGGACAACGGAAGAATGTTGATTGAGAATGAGCTGCCTGATGGCTGAGCGCGGGTCTCTTAAGTAGTAATCTGTGCTTGTCAGGCTCCAATGTCTCAAGGTAGTGACAATGCAATCTCGATGCGGAGTCCTTGAAAGCTCCATTGTGAATAAACGTAATAAGTGTTGGCGAACCCGTTGTTGAGGGAAAAAGCGAGAACAGTGTAGTAGATAATAAGTGCCTTGAGAGAGCCTGGATAACATCAGGGACTAGATGCTGGAAACAGGAGAAACCGAGGTCAGCATAAATGACCGGTATATTCCGAAATGAAAGTTAACAGCATTCCGTTGTTGATAAGCTGATGTTAGTCCTCGGCTTCTTAGCGAGGACACTAGCTGACTCGGCGATATCCAAGGCGGAGAAGGCCGAGAGGTTCATTGTAGTATGATTTCACAACTTTTATGTGCATATGCTTAAGGCATGTTCGTTTTGTCGGGGGGGTCAGAAATTCGAATTTCGAATTCGAATTTTAAGGGTTTGCAAAAATCGAATTGTACTATTCGAACATGGTCCCCTATTATGTCACCCGAGCTGGAAACCTTGACCAACAATCTGGTCCCAAATATGTCACACCTCGATATTCGGATTTCAGCGGGCCGCGCAGCAGAATTGCAAAGTGTCGCAGCCAAGTCAGCAAAGTCGCACATTTCCAGCAAACATGTGACCAGCCAATGAAAGCCATGCACCAAACAACTCACCAATATCGAACCGCACAAACATCGAAGCGCCCAGACAAAACATTCTTGACATGCAGAGTGCTAGCAACATTGCTCAAGTACAAAGCATGCACAAACTCACTCGACAATGCACAACACATCTCTAGTGGCACTAGAGGGACCACTTCTCACGCCATGTCTCTCCGCCGCCTTCTCCAGCTGCTTGCCATCATGTGGCAGGGCTACGTGCATTCGTTCGTGCTCCCCCTCGTAGTGGCGCTGCCCAACGCCATCGCCGACCTGGTTGTCGCGGCCACCATGATGACGACTCGAGTCTTCGTCCGTGGGGACCGTTTGAACGCCCGATGGCGTTGGATGCGACTGCTGCAGCAGCTTCCCGACGCCCGCTTTTACGATTACCTGCGCGTTGACCGTCGCGTTTACGTCTACCTCGTGCGGCATTACGAGCTCAGTGGATTCGGGCGACCGAACCAGCCCGACGGCAACTTTGTGAAAGTGGCGTTGGCACTCACTCGGATGGGACATGGATGGAGCTACAGGGAGCTCGGCCTTCACTTTGGATTCAGTGTCTCCTACGCCAAAAAAGTCTACGACATCTTCATCGTGTTTGTGACGACCTGGCTGGTCCCGAAGTGGGTTAAGTGGCCAACGCCCGACGACTTGGGGCGTATGGCGGCGGAATTTCGCATGAGAGGAGGCATCCCCGGAGTCGTGGGCGCCATTGATGGAACCGTAGTCACTAGCAGCAAACGCCGCGTCTTGATCACCTAGGTCGTCACTATAGGCTGGCATGTCGTCAAGATTAATAGCAGTGCTTGGGGCAGTGCCGGTGGCACGAGCAAGGGGTGGCGCAGATGGCGGCTGAGGGGGTGAGTTGTTGGAGTCGTCTGTAGCGTCAGTGGGCTGATTGGTAGCCATGGCTGTGCTAGGAAAAATCAACTATCGAGCGGACTGAACTGGCACAACTATCGACGAGGTTTGCAGCTGTATTTGTACGAGGGTGACATGTGTGGGCTGGCCTAGACAATTTCGCAATGCCTGTTTCAGCCGCGCCGCACATGTCAAGATTGACCGTACACATTTGGTTTCCCTCCAATTCTGGATTGCATGTCGCAAAGGTCGCAGAGTCGCACACCAAAGTTGTGGCGTAGCACATAGCCAGGATTGGAATTCGTGGAATCGTGCCTAGTTAGAACGTTGGCAACACATGCGTTGGCACTGGATTCGAACCCAGAGCGTGTCCCAAAGCGGATACTCTCAAAACGAGGTCTTGGCGAACATTTTATGCGACATTCGCGACAGATGGTTACCACAAAAGTTCGAACATTGTAGGGAAAAACGAACACGCCCTTATGATGATTGTGGAATAGTCCAGTCCAGCCAACGAGGTCCTGGTGCGAAAAAGGTACAAGTTGTTTGACGATGCAGCGAAGTTCTGAGTTACAACAGACAGTTACATCAACGAAATGTACGCCGGACCATCATTGCATGCCTCAACCAGCCGGCCTACCTGCTTGGGGAGCAAGGCTTTTGTTCAGAAAGAATGTATCCCGCGATTCATAATACTGTCAAAAATTTTGTGGCTACACCCACGAAAGTTGGACTTTCGGGATATCGTGGCCCTTTAGAGTTGATTGTGACAGTCCTGCTCTTTGATCTGGAACTCCAGCCCAATATCCAGTGCCCTGAAACCCATGGTATTGAGCTTAGCTAAGAGTTTGAAGACTTGGCATGAGTATGAAAAACACCAATGAGCATGATTCGAATTTCTGGGAATTATTTGGGCAGAACGCTGTTTCAAAAGAATGTCAGAAGTGGTGACTTGTTGCGATAATAATGATAGACGTCGGGGCTTGAACGAAAGCCGTTCCTTCCACCGCTCACTTCTCGATGTCGCAGCTCGGACAGTTGTCCCCAATGGGGTTTTCTTATCAGATCGGTCAACTGGCGACAGGATTCCACAGAAACGACAAAAGGTAATATTCTCCTCGCAACTTCAGCGGATGTTTACTGTGGGCCGCATCGCCCGACCAATGAGCTTCATTCCGGCAGCGGAGCCGCGGACACGTTTGGGGTGAGACGACTCAAGCCGAGAGGTTCGACAGCGCAGAACCCAAGCCAGCCGGACCAGCACCGAGCCGAGCTGAGACCCCCTCCAGCCCTACCTAACGAGCCTGCGATTTCTTGCATTCGGCTCAAGGGGAGGGCCATATATATGGGTGGTTCATTTCTTGGGAATCATCGTCATATTTTCTCCTCCCAATCAATTGGCACCTCAAGTTGAGGCCTTCAACTCCTTGGTGTTGCTGAACTCAAGCTGATAGCACTCGCTAAGCGTTTCTGCAGTTTTCTAGTCTCATTCTCACGATGATTGACATGGACCGTCACCAGAAGACCTTCAGCCGCTGCCGTCGTACTGAATCTTTGTGCGACAACTGCTGCATGCCTTCCACAGATGGAAATGAGTCTCTAGAGCTTTCTAGCAATTCTGCCAAGAAGCTCGCGTTTCAAGAACTTTCTTATCAGTCTCCCGGCATCTTTAGAATCCGCCGCGTGGGTGGGCAGTCGAGGGACGGAGCCATGGCCCCGCTAGGCGGGTGGGTGCTGCCCTTTGAGTCCGAGCCGATCTCGTGGCACTTCGTTTTGGGTGACGAGATCCTTCGCGGCGCGTCTGGGATAGTTCGTCGATGCACCGAGAGACGCGGTCTGGGTAAACATTCATCGTCTGGCCAAGATTACCCCACTATGGCGTGCAAGACGATCCCGAGGAAACTCCTTCGAAGCGAGGAGGATGTGGAAATAGCACAAGCGGAGGTTGCGGGTCTGATGCATTTCAGCGGCGGGGAGGGATGCAGAGCGGTGCAGCTGCGAGGGGTGTTTGAGGACAGAAAAGGGTTACATATTGTCGTTGAACTACCTGCCAGTGGCGAGGAATAGAAATACACTACTACTTGCATTTCTATGCTTCCTCACACTTGAAGAAAGTACACGCAAGCGGGCTAGCTGGTGCGTGCGCTTTATCTGCAGTTACCCCTCTGTATGCAGACCATTGTTCTATACGTAAAATCAAGATTTCAGAATGAGCACTTCTAGCATTGTAGAGATCATTTTGAGCAAACAGCATGAGCACTTCTAGCATCATTTTGAAACGTTCTCGCCCGACTTCACGGTGCTTTCATTGACTTCACTTGTAGTCATCTTGGGAACGGGTGACAGCATGAAGTGCTTTACTATAAAATGCAATAGACATAGTTGTTGGAATAACCGAAAGGTTATATAAGCATTCCTGAAGTTATTTCACTGTACTGATACCGCAATAGCTCATATAGAGCACGCGGAATGTCTAGGGTCACCCGAAGGTCAACCGTCTGAGAAAGTCAACAGTCGCGACCCTTGACGATCCAGTAACCGCGCGACAGTTAACAGTCTGCAACACGGTAACTGTCGAGGATAGCAATAGTCGCGGTTACTGTAGTTATACAGTTGAATAAGGGAATGTACCCCTCAGAGTACATGGCTAGCTAGATTTCTATTTAATCTTTTATACGCTTATCTTTGATCATCTTGTTCTCTTTCAATTACCATTCAACAAGGTCATTACAGAGACTTCATTGTCTCCTCTCAGACTTAACAGAATCTATCCTGTCCACTGGATCCTTGGTTGTATCAGCATGGTATGAGAGCTAGAGTGGATTATAGAACAGGCCCTCAGATTGGTTTCAGGGTATGCTGATGGATCAGCGTGCCCTGCCCAAATTAGTGACCAAATCAGCGTTGGGGGTCAAGTTTATGCTGATTTTGTCAGGGTAAAATTTCATTGCTTAATAGTTCATAAGTCCTAATATTTAAATTGCCCTCCCTGGGCAGCGCTAGTAGCGTAGCTGTCTCAGGTTTCGGCTGTAACCGGAAAGGTTACGAGTTCGAAGCACGTATGTGACACGTCCACCTGTAATTTGGGCTTTAAAGCCCCATGTACGCGCACCCCATCCCTGTACCCGATACATTTTGCTATACCCGAATCAGATTGACTCGGTACACTGTACTGAAGCTTCAGTGTTACTGGTACACCTACACACAAATTCGTCAGGGTAGTCCTACACTTCAAACTGAAAAATCAGTGCAAACATAAAAAGTATACTGAAATTTCAGGGAAAACGAAAATCACAGCTACAAAATCAGCCTAATCAGCGTGTTTTACGCTGATATCTGAGGGCCTGTTATAGAATCTGTTAAGCCCTCGTTCTTCCTAGAACAATCCTTTCATAAAATCATTCACTACATCCTAAAGTCTGCAACACTATGGCTCCTGAAGGGAAAGCCACTGCAGACTCTCCGGGCCCACCACCAGCAACGACTAACGCGCCATCAGCGGTGACCTCCGTCAGCGCCGCTGTCGTTGAGCAGCTAGTCGCACGCATCAACGCTCTTGAGAGCCATCAGGCGATGAGCATTGACGGCTCAAGTTACGCACGTGGCGTTGCTGGACTCCCTCTTCCAGGAGAAGACCGTCGCATCAACTCCGAGAGGTCCTTCACCTTTGACAATCGTCAAGGGTCAGCTCCTGCACAAGACAACCCACAACGATCATCATTAGACATCGCCTCAATGCAAACCAAATTTGTATTGACTTCAAAATTGAAGACATCAACTCCTTTCGACGGAAAGGATTTTTACACGCGGAACTTCGAATTCGAGCTTCTCGCAACAACGGCTCAGATCTGGATGTACTACGACGGAAGCCTGCCCTTTCCCTCGGAAGAAACCTGTCAGAATGAACGGACAGGAATGATTGAACTAACAGTGAAATCAGTACAAGTACCTAACCCTAGAATTGTGTACCCCCTATAGGCTAACCCACTGTAGCCTAAACAAACACAACATATATAATGTTTGACACACCCCCATAGGCGAAGTGGGGGAGAACTAGGGGTCACAAGACCGGTCAAGGCAAAGCAGGACACAACAAGCTCAGGGTGGATCTCAAGGATTCCACACAAATTCTGAGCACAAGCAAGTGGTCACAAGACCAGTTCACATGCAGGTTTATAATAGAGCAAGAGGTACAATGATCACAACCTAGCAAGAGTAAACATGCAGGTATATATATAGAGATCACAGTACAAACAGAGTCAAGAAGTAAGCAAGTGAGGTCCAGTAGGCACAAGGCCTAGCAGAGTGCAAAAGCGCTGAGTGAGCGTGTGGAACGCCAAGAAACTGAGCCGGAGCCAAGGCTGAAGGTGTAACCCTGAGACGACCGCTGAGTAGCCTGGTCGTCCGCCCAAGAAGCGTCTGAGTGTCCAGTGAGTACAACTCGGTCTCGCCCTCCAAGCACTAGCCCCATGCCAGACGTACTGCACAAGTAGCGCAACACCCTCTTAGCAGCATCCATGTGCTCCTTCCTGTGACGGCCAGGAGCGACATAGCGTGCAAGGATGCTAAGAGGGTATGCAAGGTCAGGTCGAGTGCAGGTTATCAGGTACATGAGGCAGCCCACAAGCTCTGGATACGGGCCACTCGGCTCTACGGACTCATCCGAAGGCAGAGCTGAGAGCGAGTGACCGGTAGGCAGAGGAGTAGACTGAGGCGAGGAGTACGTGAAGCGGAAGCGCTGAAGGACCTGCTGCACCATGTCTGACTGAGTCAGGGTGATGGTGCGCCGTGCTCTGTCCCAGGTGATCCGCAAGCCAAGGTAGCTTGTCAGTTCACCCAGGTCTGTGCACGTGTGTCTCCTCTGCAGCTCCGACTTCACGTGGGTGAGAGCATGAATGTCA